TTTATAAAGTAAAGTAGAAAATTATAAATAAAAATATATTAAAGGACTAAAGTTTTCTTATATTTATTTTATAAATTTTATAATTCTTAAGTATCTTAAGAAATAGTATTTTTAATCTTCTTTATTTTCTTTATTTCGCGTAATTTATATACGCATCTATATATGCATTCTGGTTTTTAATAAGGTACAGCTTAACAAGATTTTGTAGCCTTGGCAAGCTACTTTGCAGCCAATTAATTGAGCTTGGCGGTTCTTTTACATTAGATAAATGATTCTGCATTTATGAAATTCACTTCCATATAGACTGATCAATGTCTACCAGCTTGACTGACACCTTTCTATGTTCAAGACACGTTCATCTCAAACAAGCCTTAAGAGGAGTCTGGGCTGTTCGACTGTTTTTTCTTTCTTGCGGGCTTGATATCGGGTGGAGATTTCTCAGAAAAGGAAACCTTCGACTTGCCTTTGGACGGATTGTGTTCATTCTTTGCCGATGCCCCGGATGCTTATTCTTTTACTAGAAAACCTTCTCAGTGGCGCTGATGTGAACTAGTTGAGAATGTACGTGATACGGCCAGACTCCGGAGGCTATATGAAGCGACGATGTACATACTTCTCCATATGCAGCCGGTAAGAGAATCAAGCTTTGCTTCCGATGTTCAGAGCTCGCAGTCCAGGGAATCTCTTCTGGTTCCAGCACTCCGAAGCTCATGGCACCTATGTCGGAAATCTGGCTTCCCATCTAGGTCTTGCAAAGGGCCAGTCGACTACCAAAGCTATGACCCCTTGATCTTGTCACACCCGTTTCTGTTTCGCCAACGTACATGCAGGGACCCGCATTGCATCTGCATGCACCCTGTCTTTCCCTGTACCAACGGCCCGGAGGTCCTCCACCCCTACGGCAGAGAGTGGCATGTCACACAAAAATGTCTAAGAAACGTCAAACTCGAGAAGACAGGTAGGTAGGGGTGGGTTCAAACGAGATCTTATCGATACCGTCGACCAGATTATTAGTTCACCATCGCTACAATTGTATAGCAGCACATCCCAGAGATCTATGAATTCTAAAATAACACAATCATTATTACAGCAGAAAGAAGAAACATCTCTCGATCCTCCTTTGAGCGAGTACTACTGCAGGCCAAGCCAAGAACACTCGCACAAGCAAGCCGTTGTGCATCCACTTTGAACAAACCCAGACGATCAAGTGACAATGTCTAGAGACGCAACATCATCCTCCTTTGTCGCACGTTGCCTTGCCGGCATACACTTGCATGCCCGCCAGTAAACCATGACCTCATCCACTTGTTCAAAATTCACCGGTACATGGTCATTGCTAACCAGTATCATTTCGCTTGCACATATTAGACCTCGAGTCCTCGCTTCCTCCCCCCGAGGTCGTCGATTTTCCACTTAGAACTTGCAGACTTTTTTCCCAATCGTCAAGAGGTTGAACAGTAAATCCGCTAGGGTCCCTAGTGATTGCGGAGGCGTCCATTCCAGGAAAGCCATGTTTGCATCTTTCGTATTTCTCCTGACATTGCTGTCAGCCCCCACACCATGCTCTGCCAGGCCAGTTCAGATAGTTCAGGGTCCAGAACTCATGACCCGTGAGGCTACATGGAAGCCCTTAGCAGGCACCACTTGGAATTACCAGCTGACAGGCACCATCAATATCGCGTCAACCAACGTTGACGTATGGGACATCGATCTTTTCGAAACAACACCCTCGACCATCGACAGCATCCACGCCCAAGGCAAGCATGTCATCTGCTACTTCTCTGCCGGAAGCTTTGAGGAATGGCGTCCTGACGTGGCCAAATTCCACCCGTCCGACAAGGGTGACGCCGTTGAGGGCTGGTACGGTGAGAACTGGCTGCAGACCAGATCAAGCAATGTCCGAAACATCATGCTAGCACGCTTGGATCTTGCCATGCAGAAGAAATGCGATGGCGTCGAACCTGACAATGTCGATGGATATGATAACGAGAATGGCCTCTATTTGACGGAGGATGATGCGACTGACTATGTCACCTTCCTCGCCGACGCGGCGCATTCTCGAAGTATGGCTATTGGGCTGAAAAATTCGGCGAAGATTGTGACTCGTCTTGTGAGCAAGGTCGAGTACTCAGTGCAGGAGGAATGCGTCCAGTATGGAGATTGTGACGAATTTCGACCATTCATCGAACAGAACAAGCCTGTTTTTCATGTTGAGTATTCGGGTGGAGGCCTCACGAAGAGAGGATCGTGGAAGGATGATCTTCGCGTGGAGAACCACGGTGGAGACTACTCTATGGCTAGTGACGCAAGTGAAAGCACTTTGAGCAAAGACAATACAAGTGGTGCAGTCTTTGCCGAGGACAAAGTGGCTGCTGTCGTCAATGGGATAAGTGATTCGATTGACAATGCTCCCTACTCAGTCGATCCAGATGATCCAGTCCGACAGGCTGCTTCAAGTACGATTGTAGCTCTTCCGCACAGCAGCACAGACAATGCCAGTACAGATACCTCGGCAGGAAACGACAGAACAGATGATGGATCAACTACTCAAGTCATATCCAGCAGGGGAGCCAACTTGGCTGCAATCGCGTCTTCTGCCTGTAGTGCAGGTGTGGCAGGGTTCTCAACGATTGTAAAGGACCTGGACCTGGGGCCTTGGACCCAGCTGTGTTACTAAATATCTCCAAAGAACGTACAGAGGAGAGAGCGACATTTCAAGATCTCAATTGCACTGTTCAGGAAGCCAGACCCACTGAGCTAGCCATCGTTTAGTAAGAGGTGCGGAGTATGTAGTCGTGGTATGCTGTTGCAGTACATTAGAATCGTCTTCATGTGCGTACATCATTCCAACCCGGTATGGTGATCACAGCTCCTTGAAGATGATGATGTACTCAATAAAAGTTCTTTCCAAGCCACCTCTTCCACTACTAGTCTTCGCCACCGCTGTAGGCATGAAAAGTGCACTGGTTTGCCTAGAGCAGCACCCAACTCGGAGCTGAAAGTGAAGCGTAAGGTGACTGGGGCTTACTGATGGAGTTCTGTAGGTGACCTTACTCCAGCTCCGGTAACATAGTTCGGGGCGGCGAAAACACCGCTGGAGATTAGCCAATTCGATGCCGAATTACTTATTTTACTTGCTTCTTCCCGGTTAGGTTCTTCAGAACGCCGTCCAGCTGCGGCGGTATTCCTCTAGCTTTCCCTTGCGCGATAACTCACAAGTGCTCCCTTCTGCAATTAGAGGCGCGTATCTTTGGCTTCGTTGCGACTTTCACTGTCACCCAGCCGCTCCGGATCCCGGTATCCGGGGCGATATGCGCGCCCTTGCAATACAAACAGCTTCCACTTCCTAATCGTGGCCAAGACTGCTTGCCAGATCTTGAAAGAAGGGAGTGTGCACTGCTCGGAAGAAGTAAACAGCCGTCTACCGCCTAGTCTGTGATATATCAGGTTCCCCGCCTCGAAGCAGAACTGGCATCGCAGCAAAGATACGCATAAGAAAGCTGAGTTGGCCATCGGCAGTGGCTATCACTAGAACAAGTGCGACAACCAAGGTCAACGTGGTGAAGAATACCCATATACGAGGGTGATTATCCAATTATCCAACACTCATACCAAAGAAGCTGCATACCGTGCTCGCAGGAATGAAGATGAATGCAAGGATAGTGAGCTTCCGCATGGTCTCGGTCTGTTGAATTACCCTTCGGCTCTCCGCAATCTGCACCTGGCTCAATTAAATCTGATTGTGCATGAAGTGTCTCTGCTGATTGGCTGCAATATGTTCCAGTTGAAGGCTAACAAACTCCTTCGTTTTCCGTAGCTGCTCCTCTACCAGCCTAGACAGGCATTGTACTTGTTCGCACCATAACTCCAGAGATCTTTGGACTGTTCCCGACTCCTGGCAAATTGATTTACGAACCTCTTCGAGCATCGTAGAATTTGACAGCTCTAGACGCTCCCATCTCGTAGCACGTGTACGACAATGGTCCAGGAGACGGAGCTTTTCGTCAGCCTGCAGCTTGTCATTTGCACATTGATCGTAGACTCTCTTTTGTAGTCTTCATCCGTGACTGTACGTAAACGACTCAAAGCTCTTTCTAGGAAATAAATGTGGGCGGGCATGGGTACCGTTTTCAATAGGATGTGGTCCCCAGTGCAGCGCATGTGCCAGTCAGTCAAGGCGTTACAGAGAGCCAGGTTGGCCACATGTCCACACGGAGGCCAAGTGTAGAGCCGGAGTCGGGAGGTGTCTATGGATTACTATCCACCTCGCCATTGCTGACGGACTCATGATGGAGACCTATCGGAGACATAACAACGAAATTGGGAATTGGGTTGAATTGGAGATGGTCAGGGCTTCCAAGGAATTTCCACTGTTCTTTACTACCGCTCAATTCTTGATGGACAGGCTCGAGGTCCAACGCGTCAATGGGCCGATTCCACGTGCTTGGTGTTCGGAAGACGAGCGCTGGAAATTTCAGCAACTTACTAATACAGTCAGCGAAAGGCATCTTACCGGCTGCAACTTCAGTGTTCTCTGCAATGTTGGGAATGACATGATCCGATCTGTTAAGTGTGATCCTTTGGAAAGGTGTCTGGGATTTCGTGGCTTCATCCCCGGGCTTTGGCCACAAAGAAAGATATGGTCCAAAATCGTCGCAGCTGGAGGGCATCATGAAAGAACGGCGGCCCAACTGGCAGACTATGGCACTGTCAAAAGAAGGACTGTTCCACCTAGGAACACTCTGTAGTTGTCGCTCTTCAAAGGCACTGCAGATAATAGGAACTCCTCTCTGGTATAGTGGGCACCTCGTACATGTCTGCAAGGCAGATCACCATATGTGTTTGGTCCTTCTCAAAGTGGGAACGCATATCACGAATTGTGAACGGCGACACGACTGCTCGTGTAGAGATTGGCTGAGGAGAAATTCTCAACCCAGCTGTGGGGAGTGAGACTGCGTTAAAGCTCTCGATCGGGCAGCCTTCAAGGCTTTGGTGCAAATGTTGCAGAAATACAGCCGGATCGATTCCAAGTTTCTGACCGAGTACCTCAATCGCTCTCGCTGAGATATCGTCTAGGACAAAGTATTTCATTGTACCTTCTTCTTGGGCACCATTGCAGGCTAGGGCTTACGAATGCTGCTCAGGCGAATGAGCATTAGCACAACCGCATCATGCCAGTACACAATACTACGATGTTTAGCTGAAATCTCGCCAACCACTTTGTGCTCACCAGCCTTGTAGGAGTATGTATTGGATCCATGCGCGAGTCATTGATCCGTGAGCGCGCAGAAGGTATGTTAAAGACAAGATCAGACACACCAGGTAGCATCTGTTGAATACTTTCAAGATATGAGCAGTATGGAAGATCCCCCACGAAGTAATTACCAAGATCATTCTCTGGGCGTCAATCGAATATGGTAGGCGCGATATCGTTGTGTCGAGGCTAATCATGGCTACTAACTTGAAGTACTGTTCGAATTTGGCGTCCTTATTACAGTCTTGGCGGACTCGGGAGATGCGGTAGAGGGGAGATATTGAATGGATCGCAGCCAGTAGGTACACTGTGGGCAGCTGCTGAGGGTTCGGTAACGAGGCTGCTTTGACCTTTCCAAGTGTGTGAGTCTTGATTTCTTCGGAAGTTCTGTCGAGGGCGGTTACCTACCCGTTCCGCACAATGGCTTTAAGTCCCAAAGTTGCTGGCCCCCGAGCTGGGCCGGAACCGACTTACACTCAGCGCATTGCTTTAATGTTGCCATAGCACCGTTAATCAACAGAACGAAAATGCAAAATCTGCTTCCCATGTCGTTGCCAAAACATCACCAATTTGCGAAATTGCCATTCAGAAAGATATGTTGCACAATCGAAGCAACTTCCACTCTAGCGTTCCTGCAGGTGCCCAGCACTCAACTACCTCGAGACAGGACGCCAACAGTAGAACATTCTATCCAATCAGCTACCGCCCTCAACTGTGATGTGGATGCACCAGACACACTCACCCAAGCTAGTAAATGCCTTGTTCAGCTTTCGAACACAATGCAGTCTCAGCCTGTAAGCAAACAAATGCATGGAAATATCTTCCAAAGCAGACAACAGGGCGGACAAAGTGAATTGAGAATTCACAGTTGAGGAAAACGACACCAGCCGACCGATAAATTAGACACCGACTACTGTATGTAACCATAACGTCAAAGATGTGCAAGACCAAACCCCAACAGCGTAGTGAATGCATGCTCTAAACCGTGGCGCTGGCAACACACACTAGGTGACCTCAGAGGTAATTCGGTCAAAGGACAAGCGACCACGCAAACGACAGGCCCTGGTCAGATCAAGCACTTCTCCATCAACTCTTTGTAATGTCCGCTTGTTTCTCCTTTGACACGATCCACCAAAGCCATATGGTACTTATGCCGGTAAGCACCTTTTACTTGCTCGAGATGCTGGCGATTCCAATGTGCGCGGACTACTCTTTGGATTAGCAATTCGTCTTTTGTTCCCATGCCCTTCATTGCTGCTTCGAGCTGCATTGCGTCGCTCATCGCCCTATCTGTAGCCTTGGCCAACTGAAGCAAAAGGGTCTCCTCCATGTGGCCGGAAAGTTTGCTACGAATAGCAGCGTCAAGAGGTCTCTGATAACGTTGTTGGTACTGCTGAGCGATGGCCCGGATTTGTCCGTCGCTTCGGTTAGTTAATATTTCACAGACCTGCAGTTTCGCGGTACCGACTTTGCCTTCGGTAGCTTCAAAAAGGCTATTCAAATCGTGCTCAAGCTGCTGAGAATTCACCGGTGACGATTCTTCATTCCGTCTGGCTTCCATAATCATCCTGAAGTGCTGTTTGGTGTCAAGTGAGAGGTCGTCTGCGACTTCAGCTACCATATCTTTGCGGAAGGTTTGTCGATAGGCTGCTTTGATAGCGCGCATGTCTGCGTTGCTTCGGCCTACCAGAACATCACTGAGCATGTCCTCATTCGTTCCGATCCCTTTGATCGCCTTTCTAACGCAATAAACGTCATGCAATAGTGGACCGCGCACAATTGCCAGCAAAGCTTCCCTGTAATCACCAGAAGTTTCCGAGGTGATGTCTTTCTCGAGATCGCGCTTGATGCGGGTTGTATATGCCTGCCGCAACCCTGCGATCTGGATGGGATCTAACTTGGCCAAGGTATTTATCAAGGTTTTATCGTCGGTACCGAAACCCTTCATGGCAGCGCGGATCGTGTTTGCGGCTAATGTCATATCCACGGGCACAACGTGATGCGGGTCATAGCCAGGTGACGGTAAGGCAGGCGCTCCAACCATAGGTTGTGGAGGATACTGTGGGGTTGGAGGCATACCATATCCACCTTGCTGAACAGGAGGAAATTGTCCTCCCTGGGCGTAGGCTTGGGGTGGTGGTGGGAAGCTACCGGAGTAGGGAGGCGTAGGTGGAGGAGCTTGTCCATATGGACCAGGCGGTGGTGCTTGACCATACCCTGTTTGTGGAAAGGGCTGCCCCCACTGGCCTTGTGGCGGTGGTCCACCATACCCTCCCTGTGGTGGTGGATATCCGCCACCTGGTGGTGCATTGGAACCTAGTTGGGGTGGTGGGTAGCCTTGAGGTGGATAGGCCGTGGGCGGTGGATAGCTTGCTTGAGGAGGGGCTTGGTTGTACTGATGAGCAGCTTGATTGTATTGACCGGTTGGGGGACCATAACCTGGCTGAGGAGAGTCTGAAGGTACATTAGCATCGTCACAGCTGCTTGGAGCGAATGAGTCTCACGACTTGGCGGTGGCCCGCCTTGCTGTGCTGGATAGCTGCCATACGACATATCTGGACAATATATGCAATGACGTTATACCAAAATCAGGAACAAAAGGTGCAAAACTGGGAGGAAAGAAGTATACGGTTGGTAAGAATGGGAGATGGTTGCCATTGCGACGAGTCCATCTTCTCCGAATCCTCTGCTAACTCACATGGCGGGGCAAATCTCCCAAGGCGGCTTGTCTCTGGGCAGCCAGATTCGATTTCTGCAGATTCGGCAAGTCGGCGTTTCGGCACGCCGAGCGGCCTAAATGTGACCGCACCATAGTAATTTGTGTGTAGTGTTCCTGATGATTTTCTATCACTGTCATTTGTGTGATTTGATACCACTGTTGCTTCCCAGATAGATATTGATATAGAGATCTTGATGTTGAGTTTCTGCAATGGCTCTACCCTGTTGCAAACGAATGCACAGTCATAATGGGCTAAAGGGCGTACTTTGGACTACAAGAGGGGATACGGATAAACAGAAACAGTTAAAAAGAGGCAAATATGCCCAAGCATAAATACAACATCATAATAATGGATCAAGAGTCCTAATTAGGTTATGAGTTCTATAGCGACTTTATTTAAACTGTACTTTGAAAGATATTTCATACAGGGGGATTGAGTGATAAACTCCCCACCCAATTTTGGTGGGGCATACATTGCCAAGCCCCGAAACGCCGACTTGCCGAATCTGCAGAAATCGAATCTGGCTGTCGAATCTGGCTGCCCAGAGACAAGCCGCTCCAAGGCATATCGTACTAGTTACTACGTTAGTAGTGATGCAGTCGTACGGAGTAACGGCCTGAGTCGGTTCAAGCCACTCTACTACAGTACGTAGGGAGTAGTACTCCGTAATCACCCCAAAACTGTATTTTAGGCTACAGGGTAGACTGCATTAGGCGGTCGTTCGTTGGTTGTGATTAGTGCATAAAAGGTATGTGGAAGCGTGCATGCTTCAGCAATGCTGCCCTACCACCAATACTAATCCGTTAAATCGTGGACTGCGGGCCGAGGCATGATTGCCAATTTGATGCACATAGTGGTTATCCCTGAGCTTAGCAGGCGTCAAATACACATAAATAATTTCATCGATTAGGCACATGTTTTAAGAGTCGGCCATGGTAGCATTGAAGATGTTCTCATTGTAGTTAGAATACATTGCCCCCCTAGACATCCGAGCCGAAGGCCGCAGCGACATTTTCCTCTCCAACATGCACGCCCGCCTAGCTCAGCTCGTGCTTGCTTGAGCAGCAACTATTCCACTTGTGCTTCAAAGTGATTACATAGGATGCTCAAGGTTGATCAATCTTGAGTTTGATGGTTCCGCCATTGCAGAGGATCAAATTGGAGATTTCACCTTGAGAGTCTTGCTTGCGGCTGCAAGAATCCAGTTGAAATTCAAGACGTCACGAATGTTGCATCAACACATTTGGCAGCCGCCGCCTTTATCATACAATCGAATTCGTGGACCAGTAAGTGTGCGAATGGGTTAGGAGGAGCAACCTTGCTACAATTGTCTGACATGGTTAATCAGGGGCGACCGCTTGGAAAGCTGAAAAGGTATGACTTGCGTGAACAGGCGGTAGATGTCCGGAATCGAATCGAATCGCGGAATTCTGCCGATGAAGAAGCTCCTGTCACCATAGAAATATTGGTTCTCCCGTCTGTTGAAGTGGAACGATATTTGTGGGAGCCTATAAGACTAGCGGGATTCCCCAGCAAGACAACGCTGAACTGGCGAAGGTGACTTTGACGACGATTTGCGTCGTTGTCTCAGGTGGAGATCGACTACTAGCAGGACTTTAGACATGTTGACAGTGACGAAGCATGTGGCAGGAGACTGGGCTTTACCTTGTTGGGCTTTTCAGCAGCCTGAGCACCCGCTTGGGAAGTGCTTGACGCAGATGCTTCGGCTTCCATGATTGCTCGCAAGATCAGCTTGCCCTCCTCGCGATCTTCGTCGTTGTAAATGCGAAGCCCGTAGGAAATCAAGAAATGGAACTCGTTTCCCCAGTTATCTTTCAGCCACTTCTTTTCTTCCGCTGTGTACCCAGGAGCCATAGCACACCACAAGTAGGTAGACAATTGAGGACCACCAAAAGAATCGAGAATGAGGTAATGGCAGACAGATTACAGCAAAGGCAGAGAAGATGAAACGGGTGTTATGGGTATTCGAGGTCGGGTTAGAAGATTGCTTGTTTGTTCTTGTTAAGCGAGCATTATGTTTGAGGGGGAAAGGCGCTTCTCATAGTAGAATTAAAGTTTAATAGGCTGGACTGAGACCCAGCAAGATCGGTGCCAGTATGAATGGCTTTCTCACTTTCGCGGCAGTTGGTGTACAGTAACGTTAGTATTATCATGGGCTTCCGTCGTGACGGAGCTATTTATCTATCATTCAGGGTGGATTATCAGCACAGTGATTTAGCTGCGCTCGTTCTTAAACCGAATATGGATGGCTCTTGATCTACAAAGATGTTTGAGAGATGCAAGATCTTCTTGATGAACCACTGTAGCTCGAATCATATGAGCTGTGTCCGAACATCGACCCCATATCCGCACAGGTCCTAGGTAAATACCAGTCGATAGATCCACTCTACCTTATCAGGCTCAATAGGGTCCCCTAGCGAAGCTCTTCAAAATTTCCTCAAAACCAAGCTGGATTTCGGCAAACGCATTTGAATACTCTGCTGGCCTTGTCATCAGGTTGGGGGAAACCGAAGTGAAATAACTTCATGAGATCTCCAGGAAGACAATCAACAACGGCTAAGATAGTCAACTGCGTATCAGAGAATTGTCGATGTGAAGCTGAAGTAGATGGTGCTATGAAAGGAGGGTCAAATGGCACCAATTCCTCCCGAAACAAGGTAGGAAGGAAAAGACCACAGGGCCGGATAGATAACCTAAATGCGTCTTCAGGAGCCAAAGTAGGGACTTGTTCCTATAATCTGCGTGCAGCAATCGCAGAAATGTACTGTCGGCGCTCTTCACTGCCTACGCCTTCAATATTAGAGGCGAAGAGGAAATATGCAGGCGTTAGTGACTGAGAACAAAGAATAGAGCGGATCGGAGAGATGTGGATGTTCTTCGAAGCTTCAAAGTTGTATCGAACCATCGCAAGAAAGGGATTCCAATTAGATTCGCATACTAGATTATAGATCAAGTAGCGATAGTGGCCTAATGAACTGGTCGATTACCAGGCCAGCGGGCACGCCCTCGTACGAATGTTTCAAGTTGCCGGATTCATGCGAGTCGCGATCCCATCGGCTTTTATCTCTTTGGGGTTTTCAATGGTGGCACGGGTGTGACGAATTTGACCAGGAATAGTGGATGCTGTACCCATGGATGGTTCAGGACAGCTCCCACAAAGTCGCCCGATAGTCCTTAAGCTTCTACTGCTTAGAAGATACGTAAGAGGTTGAACGGCGTTTATTATTTCCCTTTTTCCCGGTCGGTCATCTGTCCGGCGCGTTCAAAGGTTCCGGAAACTTCTTTCCATGCTTCCCACAGTACCCAGGCTGGTATGAACACCCAGAGGACGTTGAAGAAAACCAAGTATAGCCACAGGTACACCGGGTCATCGCCTGCTAACTGGGTATTTCCGGACAGCCATTCCGGGCAGAATGTCATGAATCCTGGACGCTTGTCAGCCTTAAAACAAAAGACCATGCGGGCGTGCTCTCACCTCCATAGAGCTCAGCAGTAGCAAGAGTGGTCGCAAGGAACCACATTTTCGCCTGAAGCTTCGCTCTTTCTCTCCCAGCAGGCTTCGGTACGATCTGTGAAATCAGAAAGGCAATATAAGTTGCGCATGGACCAGCCAATCCGACGGTCAATATTTCAAGACTGATGACAGTAAGATCCGCACCTCCCCATCGATGATCAGCCTTCGCATATTCTTGCCAGAGCCTTGCCATTGGCGCAGACGAGTAAAGTGCTCCATACCGCCGGCTCTTTTGTCCAAGAAAATAGATACCCTCAGGATTTAATGAAGCAGGATGAGGGTAGTCGGTCGTTGCAGGAGGTAAATCGACGTACGAGAAGAAACAATGGTAGAGATAAGAACCTTCGACAATAAAGTGCGTAAGGAAATCGTAAGCGTGCCAGATAAAGAGGTACTTGTATTTGGTAGGGACGTTCTTCGGTAGAACTATGGAGGCCAATAATTGAGCTGCTGGCATAAGCGAGAAGGCGACTGCAAGGGAGAAAACTGTGCCAGGGTCAAGAGTGAAGGATGACGGCGGCATCACTGATGATATTCCAGGGGAAGTCAACACGGCCCGCCCTGTAACAACAGTAATACAGTCCAGAGGCCAGATCACTTCTCGAGTCTCGTCTCACTGAGAGATTGCGATGGGACTGTACACACTCCAGATCGATTGTTATCGCCAAGAGAAGTACAGCGGTTTGCCCTCGCGAAACTGATTCGTTCCCACTCTAGAGGGGGCAGTGCAAACTCCACTCTTCAGGCTCAGGATCTAGTCAGGAACACATCTGCAAGTGGCCGCTGTTGCATTAGTTCTCCCCAGATGGATCCTTTTCCGTGATCCTAAACAGCTGGCAGATTGATGCTTGACAAATGATGTAATATTATATGGATGAAGCAGAGTGAGAGAAGACATGGAAATATTACTATGCTATGGCGCTTCGAGTCGTTTCGTGCGAGTTGCTAACAACAAAGACTATTGCTTACAAAGTCAAGATCATACTGAATTTCAGAAACCTTGGAAAGAAATTCGTGAGATCGTTACACCATCCACAGCTTGAGACCGTCATTTCGAATCTCTTTCAGCGATCTTGGCTATCATTGTCCTTCCACATCCCCTTGACCGTCTCCCTGACACTGATGCCACCAAATAGCCAATCATTACTGTGTCTTCCATAATGTGAAGTAGTGCCTGACGTCTTCCTCGTCCTCTTGAGTGTTGATGGCCGCGAAGGGCTTGTCGGATGGTTCGGTGAGGTGGGAGACACCGTAGGCTCAGACCCTGTTCGGACGGGGTGGTTTGGAGGAGGGGAGGATGACCCAGTAGATTTAGTATTAATGGCTGTCGGTGGTGGCATTCGAGGAGACTTCGATCTGGAGCGAAATATGCTGTCTGTGGTTGAGGCACGAGTGATTGATCGTGCTTGAAAGGGAAGAGGGAGGGAGAAGGATTTGGGGGATCGAGCCTCAGGAGAGGCAGTGATCGGTGAGGTTGGCGAAAAGGCGGAGGGTGACATTGGGGGACTGACACTGCTCGACGTGGTTCCATGTGGAGCTCTATCCGACGATGAAGTGGGTGACGGAATTGGGTTTGGCTTGGAGCGCTTTTCTGCTGCTTTGACAGAATCCATGGCCTAGATTGATTTCGTGCTTGAATTTCGTCTTTCCTGTCTGTTTGAGCGGGCTCGAAGATAGATTTCGAGGTTCGTCTCCGAAGGGTTTTAGGACGAAGCGACCAACTTAAACCTGTCTGTCCCTTCAAGTTTCTGATGCCAAGTTGCTTACCCCTCCTCTCAAGCCAGCCGAGGGGATGGGCGGCTCTTCCAAGTGGCCCGGTCCAGTTTCGCAAGAGCTTCCTCGTGGAAAGCGATTGGTTTTTGGCCAGCCACAACAGAGGTTATTGTTGACAGCCTGCAGAAACCCCTGCCAGAAAGACTCGGTGAGGATCCAGCCTGGGCCTTGTGTGTAAGGCTCATACATGGGTTTAACCCAGGCTTAAAGAGCACAGCAGCCCAGTGGAAGGCCCATCGTCATCGGAAATTCACCGCCTCGCTGCTTTCAATCCTTGTTCATTCACCCACTCCCTGGAGACTTCTGTGCATGAAAGAGTAATTAGTTGGGATATACATTCTGGGCGTGGAGATCTCGACCCTCTTACAAAGCACAATCAATGCAAACTCCCTCCAATCGCAACATATGCATCATAAGTCGACCAAAACGGCACCGTGAGCCCCATTCTGCTATGCCGTACCCTAGGAGGAAAACTTTCAATCCAATCATGTGAACTGGACTTCAGGATCCCCTCAGTGACAGATCCGATTAAACATGCCTTTTAAACGATAACCTGAACCATTACTGGCCAAGGTCAAAACATTTCCGTTCCGACGTACGGCTAGTCCACCATGTAGAACGATGACGGTGATCTCATAGAAGCACAATGTATCAAAGCTCCCGCCTGGCGGAACCGGAAAATCTTCATGGAAATATACTTATCTTTTGCTATTTAGCATCTGGACGGAGGCGCACGGAGATGATGTCTTCGTGGCCTTGGGCACTTTGCGTTCAATGGTGAATCTTGTCCGACCTCGTTGGTCTGCATTGGTTCTAAGTTAGGTCAGTTGAGTCCTATGGTCGCTGATGGCCTCGTTCAGTGCCCCTTCACTCTATCACTTCCAACATTGCTCAGAAGCATGCGCCGCATTCTACGATTGTATGATTGACCATTTGATAGATGCAATTCATTTTGTATATACAATCAATTGCTATGTGTCCACTGCGAATCTTTGCTTACTTGCCGGATACTATTTACAAGTATTTCCAATAATGTCGATTTGCCTTCTCATTCTGGCAGTACACTTGTCTGAAGACATTTCCACCCTGCACGAATGGCGTTGCATGGCACATGCTTGATGAGACATCCGTTCCAAGGTACACCAACCCTGGTCGGCATTGGCCCAATGACCAACTGTCCTCCATGGTAGGTTTTCGAGTCGTCTCATTCCCTCGTGAATACACATTGTGCGCAGCTCTTTGACGATGTGGTACATAAAGGATCGACTTTTCATCCCGGCCCTTGCATTCTTTTGGAATACATCATGGCAACCGTGCTCGCTATCCTCGTCTGTACAACATTTGCAATCTTCCTGCCGCCTCTTTGGCGTGAGCACACACACTATCCGTTAGAAAAGGTACCACTTCCAACACGCTAGCATTTTTCTTGTACCACATGGCAAGAAACCCCGACAAGCTTACGAAATTGGAGAAAGAGCTTGACAATGCTCTGGCAGCGGGTATCATGTCCATCTCTCCTCGATTTGACGAGATTGATCCTCTGAGATACCTCGATGCCTCGATCAAAGAGGCCATGCGAATCCATACGATCTTGAATTTGCCTCTCGAGAAGGTTGCTCCGCAAGGCGGAATAGAAGTAGCTGGCACCTTTGTCCCCGAAGGCACAAGCATCACTCCCAGCACCTTCCTCATCCACGAAAGTGTAGCTGTGTATGGGGAGGACGCCACATCGTTCAGCCCAGACAGATGGCTAGACGCCAGTGACGCTCAAAAGCAAGCTATGGAAAGATCTCTCTTGGGTTTCTCGGCTGGAAGGCGTGTGTGTCTGGGTAGATACATTGCATTGTTGGAGATGAAGAAGACAATTCCAACGGTGTTACTACATTTCCGGGTAAGTCTTCAAAATATACGCAGCTTAGATTGCTGAAGTATGGCAGATGAGTCTCGTCGAGCCAGATAGGGAGATCAGCTATGGCCATAATTTAATTGTCATTCCGGATGGGATAGTTGTGAAGATTGAGCGTCGTGTTGGGCGCACCCTTGGTTCTTAGACCTTCCGGAGGAGTTGAGATGGTATTGCAACGATGTGGGCGACTTCGAGCTCGAACCGGTACAGCCATATGACCCATTCGACACATGGAGTGGGTGTTCCAACAACATCGCTACCTATCGTGACTTCCCAAACAATATCTATGCCGTCGCTTCTTTCGAGCCTCCTCTCGCTCACTTTTGGTAGATGAGAATAAATGCATCTACCAAGCGCTCTGAGTGCTGGTAAGTCATGCGCTGCTCCATCGGTGTGGCGACCGCCCGAACATTCTTTTAGCGCTTTTCTAACCTCATGCAACCGCTTGAGAGCTTTTCTGTGGCAGTCTCAGCGGCAGCTCGAGCAGCCTTGGAGGGCTTGCTGCCCGGCCTGCGAGTGTTACGAGTCTCCTGTTTGTCTGTGGAGGGAACAACGTTCGGAGCAGCCTGGCGTTCTTTGGCGCGATCTCGCACCAAAGGAGGGAAGTGTTGAAACTGCTTGCCTTGATCAGGTCCAGGGTAAGTGATTGTAGGCCCAGTTGGTCTTCCATAGGCGCCGTGCCTCTTGGTCCTGTTTTGCCTCGCAAGCTGACTCTGACGAAAGCTAGCCATCCAGGAGTACTGTCTATCCATGGCTGTTTCGGCCATGAAATCTCGATATCCAGCACCCTGCTTGATCTGATCCTGAACATAGTTACTTTCATCCTCAGTGAGATCGGTGATCATGATGCCACGATCGATGGCATCGTGGATGCAAGACACCAGACCTGTCCCTTTCTCAGAGTTGGCCAGAGCTCTCTCCAAAGACTGAGCTGCGCCGACAATCGCACAGCCATATTTCGCCCTTGTCAAGGCCGTACACAGTCGATTCTCACTGGTGAGATGAGAGGTAGCTTCTTGGTACATCGGCTCCCCATCGACGAAAAGGGCACCCTTTTGGGTGGCCGTCAAGTCGAGGATAACGAAGTCGTTATCTTCGCCCTGATACTGGTCAATTGTGACCAGGATGATACCGTCTAGGCCAACGCTAGAAGGTAATAGCGGAGAGGTTCAAGCTGTCCTCGGTACCAGACAGCGACGGTGTTTGCCCTCTGTTGCATGCCATTCTTGACAAAAGAAAGACACAGACAAGCTATAACCTCGGCGTTGGCGAAATTCTGCAGCGAGGTTCCACCTTCCATAACCTGCGAAATTCCACGTGGCACATTGATGCAGTAGTATTGACTCTTCACCACGACTGAGTATTGCTCCTGGAATGTCTTGGTCCAGATGTCGAGCTGCGGGACCCATTCGTAGACACACGGGGCACTTTCCAGCAGGTTCTCGTACCACTCGCGGTTTGGGAATTGCAGGATATCTGGGTGGTTTCGATAGTCGACCTTCAGCCAGGTGTATCCGTGCTTCTTCTGGATCAACCAGTCTAAGATGAACATCTTGCCCACCTTGTTAAACTCGCTGACGTGGGAAGCCGCGTCAAACGGTTTCAGCTGTCGAATGTCACCCAAGAAGATGTGCGCCTTTACGTAACGAAAGATGAGTGCACATTTAACAGTGGACAACTTGGCTCGAGAAGCTTCTTCATGGAAAACCACGGAGGGTTTAAAGTACCAATTCATCAGCTCATGAGCGGAGCTGACATAAGTACATCCCACCACCGTGCAGTCGTCGAGAATGACACCGGTGGGATTATCAGTGGCCTTTCGGAAATCCAACGCCAGCGTTTTCGGATCTCCAGCTTCTGCCAGAAGTGCGCCTCGACTATGCTCGTATTTTTCTAGGAACTTCACTTCTTCCTTAGAGGCTTGATCTTGATCTCGGGCTCACTCCAGCCTACGGATAGCATACGGAAGCGAGTGCCGCACCGGAAACTCGTTGGCCCTGCTGGGTTTCTCGGCCATCCGGTCATAGTCGGCCTTCAGTCTCTCCCAGTCGAGGAGTATCTGTTGCATCTTTGCTGCTGCTGCGTCATGGTCAATGGAAGGATCATTGGCCATGGCTTCCGCTAAGCCAGCCTCAGCTTGAGCGATTCCAACGGCATCGTCGAGCTCATGCCAGTAGTTGGGGTCTCGCGCTGTGCCGGTTACGTGCATGGCCGACTCGTCTTCTGCCTGTGCTCGAACCAAGGCATCTTTTTCAGAAGCTGGCGGCACGAAACGCAGATACTTCTGACATGCAACGGACTCTGCCGTCTCATGGTCATCCTCGCTCTTAAGAAGGTTGAAGATCAACTATTGAGCGACCTCCATTTTCTTGTGGAAGTTGTTGATGGCTGCATTATCTTCAACAACCACTAGGACTTTGGCCCACAACGCCCATGATCACAGCTGCCAATGCAAATGTGGTGGTCTTCTTACAACCAGCTCCACCCAGTACGATCTTAGATCGATTGTAGATATGCTGGAAGCCCTCAGTAAGCAAGGCTAGCTGCCCCTCGTCCAGTTGAGGTGCGAGCAACTTGACAATCTTATGCCAAGCTTCAACGCACTTCTCCTCCACACCCTCCTGGGCAAAATGGCCATGGTGAAGAGGGTCGCTCACCTCCTGTCTGACCTCTTTGTCATATGCAAGGGTCATCTGAAGGGCTTCGAGGTCGTCTCTTGACAGCTCAGCAAACTCTCGAACCGACGCGAGGACACGCTGTGCAGACTCTTTGCTCACAATTTGGGTCATGCGGATCTGCTGGTAATGCTGGATCTCAGTGCAGTCATCGGCTGATTCGACCCATTGAGCTCTCCGTGGCTTGTTGCAAGCCAACACAAAGGAAGCGCCGGTAGCCATAAGCTCTCGATGGGTCAAATTCCTAACATATCCTGTCCATCTACTCTTCTTTGGCTGATGGACCTGATGGCCCCAGTGCTCTTCAGCAAATTCGATGTGCCATGGCGACTGATCTGCTGGAACACGCAGTCTGTTATCCTTGGGAAGCCATACGAAAACGTAGAAAGTCTTCATACGAGTATCCTGTGCTTCCGAAACCTTGGTTCTTACGCCCTCCGCTGGGCGCTACGTTTTGACAACAGCTGCCTCGAGGTATTGTGAGCTCAGAAGCTGATGCTGGCCAACCTCCCACTGCCATGAACGGACAACGTTGACCATGAGTGGGATGCAATATGCCTTCACGCTGTGGTAGTACATATCCAAATCATGAGTGTAGAAGCCGTGGGGCTCTGGCCAATAGGTTATGACACCAGTCTCCTGCTTTTGGGCGTTCTGCCGCTTGGTGACGTCCTTTGAATAAACGACATACATCCTGTTCTTGAAGGTGCTGATGTCCCTCATGTCCAAGGTGATGTTCAATTCATGCTCATCGTCAAGGTAAGGGTGGTCAGGTGGCCACCTACCATCATACATGAGCTTAAACCAACTAAACTCATTGTGCATGAAGCCGTAGGCGTCTCTTGAGGTCTGATTGGGATTCACCCCGTTGTAATCTGGTACTAAGAACAGGATGGTCAACCCTGCATCTTCCTTACCGAAAAGATCCCCGAGAAGCCTAAGGGTTGGCGGATCGCGAACACCTAGCTGGAGAGCAGCTACGTTGATGTTAGTCTCGATCTGACCGTGTCGTCCATTGAAGCTTAGAGCCACAAGTCGGGCCTTATCTTCATCGCTCAGACGCTCGACCTGCGATCGCGGCGAGTGCTGCCAGAGTCCCTTGTCAATGAGAACATCTCTGTCATCCATGAAAGGCGTAAGCATCATGCTCTCGATCATCCATCGTGTTATCTCAGTGCGAGTTTCATTATCTTGGTCGCCATAGTCCACCTGCACCTGCACATCGGTCACGCAACCAGGCTGCCACTTGAACTTGACTTCGTAGTAGCTGTCCCTCGCTGCAGTGTCCAACGGTTTGGATAAGACTTTGCTTCGACGGATAGTCAGCTGAATTGACGGACGACCATAACGCCCAAAGTCGATGCGCAATCGGTAACTGAAATTAGCGTGCTGGGCTTTCACTCCACCAAACTCCTTGTGATCTCCCCAACGCTGGAAGAGACATGGCACTGATATCGCCTTTGGGCAATCTCTATACGCAGGCACCCCCTCCTCGAGGACTGCTAGCGTAGATTCGTCGACCGGCTCCTCTCTCGCCTCCCTCTTCAACTTCAGACCGATAGCTGCAGCGGCAGACGTACCTTTTTCCAATCGCTTGATGGCGTCGGTCTTGCTCCGACCCACCGCAATCGCCATGGCGTCTTCCTCAGGCATCGGCTGGAACTCCTGGCGCATCCGCTTGGCATCGTGAGCATCATCGTGGCCTTCCTCACCTTCCTGCAGGCTAAAACTGCTGCTCATGTCGGCCCATTCATGCTTACTAGTAATGTCCGCAACTTTCTCCTTTCCCTTGCGGGAGGGTTCAGCAGGTTGGATATCTTCACCCTCCTCCATTTCAACGTCTTCCTCAATGATATCCTGAGGTTCGAGACCACTAGTCTGGACTTCATCAAGTACTTCGTTGTCATCATCGTGCCCGAGGTCCAAGATGTCGAAGCCCTTATTAATGTCTAAGGGGTCACCTAAAGGAGCCCCCTTATCTTCTTGCTCGAATTGTGTATCTGCCGGAGCAGAGGGTCCGGCTGTATCTGGACGAACCAAATAGTCAACCTCTTCTTCATTGTGTATTGTATCTGCCGGAGCAGAGATGCCAGTTGGAGTCGGACGGACCGAGCTGCCAACTTCTTCTTCGTTATGTGTTGTTTCTGCCGGAGCAGACTCTAGAGTGGTCTCTGGACGGACCAGAGGGTCACTCCGAGAAGAGAAGGTAGCCGCATCACCTCCATCTTTTGCGCTCGAAGGACTGGACGGACCAGACCGTTCAGGCAACACCCCTTGAGGGGGAGAAGCCTCAGACATAAAAAAATCAGAATACTAAGGTAGGAGTTAGCAAGGTTTCCAAATGCTGATGGATTTGCAGTTTCGGGTGGATTATGAAAACAAGTAAGTCAAAGGTGATGAGACGCGATTTCAACCAGCATTTCGTACAGGTTCACTAGCAATAGTCCTCAAGTCGATCGCACATGCAAGGCAAAATTTGCGCGTAACAACAAGTGCCGGTGAACGAAAAGTGAGAAATAAGCGTCACCACCACTGAGGAAAAAGTTGTCGGGAAAGTATTCAAAAGTACCGGGAATCTCTCAGACCAACAGGGAATACCATCTACTTACAAGAAACAGTTGTTGTATCAGGCAGAAAAGCTAAAAAGGGCGAAGTTGTGATATGGTGATTGAGAGCGAAATTAAGTTACAGAGGCGCGCGGATTTCGGTTTGACTGTGGTACTTGGGTGCCGAGACTTTCCGCTGCCAGGCGGTGTTTTGTCAACCCACAGGTACTAGGTCCTATGCCTGGAAACACCGGCATCTTGCGAGAACTACTACATGGCAGAGCTCTGGGCTTCTGGGACTCCATGTATTGTTATTTCCTTCATCCGCAGGAGCCATCTATTTTGTCTACGTTTTTCACGCAAAGGAAAAACAAACTGTCAAGGCGAGGATATACAGTGGGGAAATTCAAACCAGTGGTAAGCACAGGCAATCAAAGCGAATATGCAACGGTTATTATTGGTCGTTGTGTAAAAGGTCCATACATGATTCTGGAAAGGCACATGATGGAACCAACTCCGACACCCAGGTTTTTGGATGGAAGTGAGCTAGGTTTGTATACCGAAGCTGGTTTTGTTACGGAAAGAAGTTTTCTAAATCATATCCTAGCAGCAAAGGTGACAGAATGAGACCACATGGAAGCAAACTCCGTTGAATAGCGCTAATTTTGGAAAGTCCCGAGCGGGGCGGAAGGAAAAAACCGAGTTTGATTGCGGGTACGGAGTACTATCCTCCATCTGATTTTGCCAAGAAAGGGCGAGCCGAGCTAATCCCTCCGGAGGCCAAATTTTTCTCTGCAATCATCCTTTTGAGGATCAGCACAACTCCTAAGGGCCGTTTACGACTGAATCTCAAATATGCATGCTTGAAGTTCACCAGGTATCACAGTTTCTGCCTCAGCTCGCGGAGGAAATCCAAGGCTCCTCAGACATGCTCCAACGGTACCAGAATCCTCTCGTCGAGCATGAACTAGAATGTTCTATTCGTATATTAGACGGTCTGCTGTGAAAGGCGACAGAAGGGACGATGGGGGTGGGTGCTGGGACTGATCAGAGCCATTGTGGATGGATGAAAGGCTCTTATCGCACAGTCAGGCGTGGACCACCATGGAAGAGCATAGAGGATGGAGAAATACTACTATCAGGAGACTAAGAGATAGCTGGTAATGCAAAAGTCTGAAGGTTCAAAAAGCGTACAGAGATGGATACATTTTACCGTGACCACTAAGAGAGAGATGTTGTTTCCCTACGGGCCCTGGTTTGAATCTCGTTGTGTGTTCCTCGACGCCTAACTGATTTGCTACCTCCTTGATGCAGCACGGATGCCAGACGTTGTACCCAACAAACAATTCGAATAATATCACTGTGACCCGGATTGACATCACGCCATAGAAAAGGGTCAGCAGGTAGCGCGCGTAACTTCGTAGGATAGCAGGCCGTGATAACTTTATACCTGGCGTAAAATCAAGGATCTTTCAAATATATGATCGTTTGTGTAGTCCAGACTGTTGCAAGACCGGATATGGTTGTTTGTACATGGGAGTTGAGCGGAAAGCGGACTTGATAGCGTGACGTGCAGCTACAGTTGGGGTCCAAGTGGCTATACACGAATGAAACATCATGCCGAGGCGCTGTTGAGGATATTTCAGCGCAGTGATAGTACTACTGATCGATGTATCGCAGTCAACTCGACACACTAGAACGAACAGAAAGGTCAGCCTTAGACCACTAAACATCATTGGCTAAGGGGTAAGATGATTGTCGTTGCTCGATACACTTAGCATCTCTCGGATCGAAGCCTGTGAACCAACGCGATGCTTAGGAGTTCCCCAGTCAGTATGACTTATCACATCAAGACTCTCGAACAAAAGCATTGCTATCAAGGCTATAGTAGACCCCCGACTGAGAGGATAGCAGAGGAGGGTTGATGTTCGGAAGAACATGGTTGAAACCAAATGAGAGGACAATAAATGCCGAGGAGAGTGCGCAACGGAAGTCTTATAGCCCTACAAACGTAACATGAAACCTTGGTGGCTGAAGTGCTTGATAGGTTCGCAGGCGAATGCAGAGTTCGAAGTCTGTTTAATAAAGTATGTTGCTATCTATGTGTGCAAACCAATTGCTTCAGAAATTCGGCCCGAAGCCCCCATGTGATTCGCTCGTCCCTAGCCCAGCCACAATGTCTCCAACAGAATTTTCCGGCACGATTCCAACCTCATAATCTTCGTAAACAGCACCAGTATTAGTGAATCGGTAGGATTTGCTGTCGATCTTTGTATATATTAGTCCGTTGCAATCGCAGAATTGATACAAATGATGGGTACTTACTGCTTTCGATGTGGTTGGTAGCGTTCTCAGATGCTTCACGGGATCGATGACTTGTGATAACGATGCGTCGAGTGATGTTAGAAATGACTGGACCTGCTCGAGGGCTTTCAGTCAGCTAGAAGAACACGGGCTTGCAGCGGTCATTAATAGAACTCACGCCCAAATGCCAACGTCTCTTATTTTCGAGCTTTTCATTGGACTCCCAGAAAATATTAGCGAAAGACAAGATGGACGACTACCTTCGCTTTTTGCCCTTCTTCTTGCTGGACTCGCGCTGTTCGCGCTGTTCGTCACTCCATCTGACTGCACCAGGCTGAGACTGTCGAGCTCTAGTGGCTTCCTTAACATTCGGCGGGAATGTACCAAATTGGGTTGCCTGGTCGCTTCCACCATATGTCACCTTTTGCGGCTTCTGCTGGTGCGCCTTCCTCAGAATTTGCACCCTCCCTTCGCGGTGCTCACTCATCCAGCCCAAGTTCTCGAGGCTAGATGTTTCCTCTTTGAACTCACGGAGAGTCTTATCGCTGCTCATGAGATGTTGTTGGACATAAGGACTCTCGTCCTCAGTCTCATCTATCAACATAACGCGTCTCTCGATAGCGTCGTGGATGAGAGCCCTCAAATGTTCTCCGCTCGCCTCTTTTTGAACGGCTCTATCGAGAGTGGTAGCACTGCCGATAAATACATGACCCTTCTTGGCTCGCGTAGCAGCGACATTGAGCCTTTTGTACAGCTTGACGAACACGCTAACACCCTGGAAGTAGTCAGGGTCGCCACTTAAGAGTGTCATCAGACTCTTGTTGGCTGTTGCAGTCACCAAGCTAATGGTGAAGTCGTTATCACCACTCTGGAACTGGTCGACGGAGACGACCTGAACACCCGAGATACCATATCGCTTGAGGTACTCGTTGACCACGTCGATCTGACCATGATAGAAGCAAAGAATGGCGATCTTGATCGCCAAAATGCCCTTCTCAATCCACGCCTTACAAAGGATTACTGCAACCTTCGCATCTGCCCAGTTCTCCAGGGAGTTTCCACCAGCCTGGACATGTGCAATGCTTCGGGTGGTATTGATGAAGTAATACTGACTGACCACAGTAGCCCCGTATCGCTCTCTGAAAACGTCACTGAATGCTTTGTGCTCCACCGTCATTACAGTGGTACAAGGGGCGTTCTCGAGTCTACCCTTGTACACATGTCAATTTGGGAAATCCAAGATGTCAGGATGACATCGGTAATTGACGGTCAGCCAGGAAGAACCATGTCACTTGTCTTCGTAGAGTTGTAGAATTGACAACTCTCCCATTTCACTAAACTCGTTCATCGTCTTTGATGATTGAAATGGCGGCAGCTGATGAAGGTCACCCATAAATATATGGGCCTTGACATTCTCGAAAGACATAGCGCACAGTGCAGTTGGGACCTTCACCCTTGATCCCTCCTCGTGCACCACGACCGTAGGGCGGAAGTTGCCCTTGACCAGAACGTTCACACAACTACCATGTGTTGTACCGAGCACATGCGAGCTCCTGGCGACCCAAGCATAGAGTGCGTCGGTTGCAATGCTGAGGGCACTTGCAAGCTTTCTCGGATTTCCCTGTCCCCTAAGCAAGGCCTCTTGTGCTTTGTCGTAGGTGTCGATCAGGGAAAATCGTTCGTCGGAAGGCGCTAGCTGGTCCTGCCTCTTAGCATCTCGCAACACCTCAATGAGGTAGACAATGAACTGTCTGGCAGGAAACTTGTTGAGCTTGTCGGACCTCACCGCTCTTCGAGCATACTCAGATTGTAGTCGTTTTAAATCGCCTTGATGACGACTCAATTCCCCTTCCAACTCCGCTCTCTTAGCAATCTCTGCATTCATCTGTGCTAGAGCTTCCCGATGGGCTAGCGAAGCCATGACCAAACTCATGGCGTCTGCAGTATTCTTCCAGGCATCTGGGTCGTCTGGTCGGCCCGTACGATGCATGTTCCCTTTGCCGAAATCGTTGTCAAGCAACGCATCCTTCTCCTGAACAGGAGGCTCGAAACGAAAGTGTATATGCCCACTGAGCTGGTCTATGAGGGCCTTAGACTCTTGAGATTTGCTTTGAATAGCCGCTGATCCAAGTTCCACGCGGACGCTTTCCAAGGTCTTCATGAATTGGTTCACAGAGCCATTGTCTTCGGCCACGATCATGACCTTATGGTCAATGAGACTCAGCAAGAGCACCACCCATGCCATGGTGGACGTCTTTATACATCCAGGACCACCCTTGACGAACTTGGTGCCATTCCAGACCTGTCGAAGGTCTCTCTCGAAGATCTGCTTCTGGTCTTTATTGAGTCTGCCTTGAATGGGATTGAAAACCCAATCGAAGAATGTGCGGTTTTGGTCATCGTTCTTGGGATCTCCACCGGCTATCAAGTTGACATGATGGAATGCTTTGATCTCTTTGGTGAAGATCAAAGGAATCCTAAAGTTTTCGAGGTCTGTCCTCAGTGGATCACAAAACTCTTTGCAAGCCTTGAGGATGCGGTCCTGCCCGACTCGGTCGATAATCTGTGTCATCCTTCCTGGATGGTAGTTGCCGGGGGCCAATTCGTGAATGCTTGGCGCCCAACGAATTCGCTGACCTCCCAGAGGTCGTGTGGCAACCATAACAAACTGGGCACCTGTAACCTGGCGCTCGTCGTCCGTTATGGGTTTGACGTAGCCAGTCCAGCGCAGGTGCCGCTCTTGATGTATTTGTTTGCCAACCACAGTCTTTTTGAACTCGATGTTCCACTGGCTGTCGAGCGCCGGCAAATGCAGTTTCTTATCCTTAGGAAGATATCCATAGAGGAAAAAGCCCTGTCGACGAGCTTTATCTTCCTCTGTCAACTGAACATCTCCCGGAACCTGAGCCTGGTAGCTCCTCACAACAGCAAAGTTGATATCTTGGGCCGAGTAAGCCATGTACTCACCCTCGACCCATTGTTGGTCTCGCACAACAGAGCCGAGGACATGCGTCAAAAACTCGCCGGTACTAGTGAAGAATATCTGTTTTCTGTAATGGTAGAAGGCATCACCGGGTGGCCACCGAGCAATGGCGCCTGTCTCTTGTAGCTCGGCCTCAAGAGCCTCTCTCTTGTCTGGCCCGTAGATCACAAGCATCCGATTGGCGAATGTGTTGATACTCTGCATATTGAATTTGACGTTCAACTTTCTCTCCGGGGTGGAAAAGTCGCAATATGGATATAAAGGTGGCTAGCCTGTTTTCGAAGGCATCTTGAAAATTTGGATATTCAATATTCAAGAAATATAACGATCTTTCCCGAGATCCATCGATTCCGCGGTCCGAATACTGCGAACCAAGAGGTAGGAGGAATGTCACTGACATATCAACCACATCCTCGGAATACAGATCTCCTATGAACTCTTTCTCTGCCTCCGTGGTGTTCGCGATGGCCTGAGTCTTGATCACGTCGGTTTCAATACGGGGCGTCCTGCTTTGGAAGTTGATATTTACACATCCTGCCTTATCAGAATCGCTGAGCTTTTCAATCTCCGAACCAGCTCGAGGATAATACCACCCCAGTTTGGCGAGCAGAGGCACGTTTTCCTTGCTAAGCACGTTACGTGCGAGGTTATCAAGTTGGTACAACTTCTCCCCGTTCTTGTTAAGAAAGGAAACCCCTGGTTGCCACTCAAACGTGACTTCAAGGTAAGAATCTGACTTCGACTCATCCAGTTTTTGAGTTGCAACCTTGTTTCGACGGCACCTTAACATGAACGCTGGCTTGCCGTATCGCCCGAAGTTCAAGATGAATGTGAACCGCCAAGAATCAGGGCTGTCGCCGTTCTGGCGGAGCGTGCCGATGTCGACGTTTTTTTCTAGCCACGCATGGCACTACCAATGATTTGGGCATGTTTCGGTGGTCATACTGTTTTTCATCGGTTGTCTCAAGGTGGCGAGGCCCACTGGTGCATCCACTGGCTGCTCTGGTTCCGTCATTTCGACTTCCGGCGTGGGCTCACGGTCAGGAAGAGGCTCCATGATCCTAGCGTACGCCTCCTGAACGCTTATTTGAGGTGCTGGTGGGCGAGCAAGGGGACAAACAAAAATGAAGAATATTGGTGTAGAGTAGGTGTTGAAGGCCGCAAGATTTCACCTTGATCTCAAAAAGAAGCGCCAAGACTTTCCGCTGTGCGGTGGCAGCTCGTCAAATTTCCGCCGGTGTTGTGCCAAATCTTAATGAATCGCATGTCTGATCCTACTTCTTCCCACACCTAAGGGAGCAAACACATATCTGGTGCCTACTGCCAGTGGTCTACTGCGAAATGGCCCAAGAACAACAAGGCTACTGACGCTCCAAAGTAATCATGCTCCGCTTCGGGCTCCAGAGATGATTTCCAGTGCTGTCATGCCAATCATGGTCAATGAGCTTACACCGAAAAGATCGGTTTCCCATTCTTGGACGTTGATTGAAGCGATACCGGTTTGACAGACCATTGGTGATTGTAGGCTAGTCAGGCTGAAGGCTTCCATGCGGCGTCCCGGTTACTACTTCTAAACCTCTGGGCTCGGCACTAGGTTCGCTGATTGGGCAATACTGGATGAGAAGGATACAAGAGAAGATTAGAATGCGATCATGGTGTTGGAGGACGTGGGACATTCGCGATTCTCCCTCCCTCCACAAAGCCTACTTCCGGATGGCACGAGCATCTCTGGGAAGCAAGTCCTAACAATTGGTGTACTACAATGAAGTGCGACTACTCAGCAATCAGCAGGTGCAAGCAAGAAGTAATGATGGTCAATTGGAACTTCATGCCGGAAATTTCTGAGCAGGTAGATGAGACTCTGAGCAGGGAAGGAAGGGTACGTCGGCAAATTGAGACACGCAAGGGGGATGGTATGACGAGAAACATTGTGGTAAGAGTATCAAAGTTTTTGTGAAGTGGAGGTGTAACGCCTAGAGTTGGGTGTCCTTTACTTTGCTGGCACGGCATTTTCACAGGGACGTCTGACCAATTTTCTTTATTGTGTATCTGTAGATTGTGCCATTGCGGAGTAAACCTGGGAATTGTACCTGGCCATCATGATGAAAATATGAAATCCTGGTCACTGAAGAGAAGCTGCTCTCGTTCGAACCATCCCTTACTGGGTTGCTCCCAGTGTCAAGGTTCCATGGAAATATCGTGCCGAGTCGCTATGTCGAGCAAGGTTGTAGTACCGGAGACACGGCGTGCATCCAGTTGCTGCGGGAGGGTGCCTACATTTGTGGAACATAAAACGAGTCCAATATGATAAAGTGTTCATGGATCTTAAGGATCGAAGAGGAGGATTCTTGTTCCTTACGAGACCTACACAGAGCTAGACTTCAAAATATGCATAGCTCCATCCCGTTCACACTCTTCACAGATATAGATTGGTAACAAATGTTCAACCATGGATGTTGCCAATCCTGAAAGAAAGGCTGTGGGGTAGATAGGAGCGCTAAAAGAGGGAAAGTGTAAGGGCAGGAAGTATTGAATGTTCAGCAGATGGTAGTTCAATGTTGGACAAGCAGGCTCCAGATATAATTAGGATGGTCGCAGTTTGGTGAGACTGAGAACGGAGTTGATAAAGGAACAGGCCTCCAATCCTGGAAGTATCGAATATAGGATGTGGCTTTGTAGTGATGAATAGAATATTGTGTTATTTTCTCAAATGCGAGACGTTATCTAACTTGGTACCAGTTAAGGAAGTGCCCTGTGCTGAAAGGACGCTTCATAGGACACTCGCAGATACCTACACACCGAATCCGAACCCAGGTAGAATCTCGTCCTCACCGTGTACAGGAAATCTTTCCATTCTCGCTAAGTTAGGAGGGTTTCGTAGTCCCTCAGTCTGCATATTGTTGCGGCAATATTCAACCTAGAGGATGAGCTTTTGCTTTTTCGAATGGTTACAACAAAGGCACCAAATCCAGTTCATTGCCTCATATCTGCTGTCCCATTACCCATTATGAGTGATGTGAGGGGGGCGAGTGTTGGTAAGTGTGCGAAGGGTCTTGCCAAGGAACAGCTAGGCTTTCTAACTTTGGTTATGGTACGGTCATGGTACAATTGGTCATTCTTGATACTGGATCGGGTAGAAAACGGGTGACGCTTGATTTTTCGTAACTGGGGGCATGGCTGATTGACTGGGTGTTGTAGTTCGAACGCAGGGCTGTCTTGATGCATCAATGTTCTGCGAAAGCCGTCTGATCATGCTTCCGCCCTCACATCACTCCATCCGGAGTCAATGCACAGCGAATGACGGAGGTTTGCGGAGCTGGGAGCCGAGACAGAATGTCAGGTGGTTGTAGGAATAGAGTGCTATGGAAAGGAAGAGAGTTGTCACGGTGGGAAAGCCGCAAAGGAGAAGCAAACTCAACACTACTCGGGTAGATGTACCCCTCTGGCAGCCAGGATAAAAGAATAAAAAGATAGAAGGATAGAAGGATAGAAGGATAGAAAAGGATAGAAGGATAGAAGGATAGAAGGATAGAAGGATCCATGCCGACGACCTCAAGACCCGTATGCGTTAAGTTACTTTTTTGAGCCAGTATTTTGCAACATACCAATCTGCAAAGTGCATTATCAGGAAGTAAGGGAGGGACCCACGACTTGTTATCACCGCTGAAGTTGTGCTCGAGGGGTGGAGGCGTCAAGGAGGGCTAGAAGCCGCCCCTGGTATCCAGTACCATTAGCGGCTGCAGTGGATGGCGGATTTTGATCTTGGCATTGGAGAGACTTGGCGAAATCTCGATGTTGCATTGGACGGCAGTGAAGCGGTTGGTCACATTGCTTGGGGATGGCCAGTAGATACAGTCTTATGGGGGTGTCCCGATACTGGCAAAATGGTCAATTGTCCATCTTTGACCAGGAAACTGTTCGAGAGGTCCGCTTAGCGTCAAGAAAAAAAAATGACGTTTTAGTATCAAATGCATGCACCACCACTGGCAGCTCGGCCCAGTCTAATGCACATCCTACTTTCAAGAGATGATTTCGAGTGCTGTCATGCCAACCAATCCCATTAGCCCAGCCTGCGCAAGGTAGAACCACGTCCCCAAGTACCTCCCACCACCCTGAGGTTTATCCGAATAAATATAGCCATACAGATACAGCATCCTCGCCACTAACCATCCCAAGCCCAAAGCTATTGTCGCATTTGGATACTGCAACCCAGCAACCAGCATGTGCATCATTGTTTGAGGAGCGTTTTCCATAAACTGTGCATGGGCTCTCTGGGCGCAGTTGAACGTGTAGGCGGCGGGATTGGCTTTCATTTCCTGGGCGGTGGCGTAGGCATTTGGGTAGGGAATTTTGGCGGCTCTACGCTTCCTGCCCGTGATCGTGCCGTGGGCAAAGGCGAGGAGAGGAGTTGCGATGAGGGAAATGCCGAGGACGTAGCTGGAGTGTGGTCAGCGAGCGAAGGTCGAGGGAAAACAGCAAACCTACCCATAGTTGTTGGGAACGGTGATGTTAGTCATGACTGCATGTTAAAATGCCGATCGCTGGACAGAAAGTGTCGCTGTTGGCAAGAGAACGAGGAACGAGCAACTATATAGCTCGAGAAGAATCTAGGACAGCTAGGATAGAAGAAATTTCGGCCGGTTCTCGGACGGACAACTATCCCGAAGTCCACTTCAGCAACCAATGAAACGCGACATTCAGAACAGTGAAGCATGGAGGAGGGATACGGGCCTGCTTCAAGGTACAGTCGGGCCTGAAGTTGATCCGTTACTAAATATGTTCAGCTTTGTGGACTGAGCTTTTAGCGGTTTCTGGAGAACGTCCGACGGACGAGCTGCCCCCAGCTATGAGTAGTACTACTTTACGGAGTAGGTGGTTTGATTCAAGACATATAGGGGGAGTGATGTAAGTGAGGGCTACAGCAAAAGCAGAGGATGTGTCGGGTCTCTGGGCTAGATATCCACTTTATGGCGTAGATCTTGACATTTATCCACTGGGCCACATAATCGCTAGCGTCAGCCCGAAATCATATTAGGTGTCTAGATGCTTCTCATTTGATGACGACTGAGTACTAAGTAAGGTGCGCTTGCGGCTGCAGCACCCAATCAGAAGAATGTCTAGTTTACGGAAAGATGGATATTAGAATGCATGTCCTTGATGCCGTGCAGGCTCGTTACCCTCATGAAAGCATGGTAGACCCACTACCCAAGAAGCCTCTATTCAGGTTACAATTTCTTCGCCGTGCAATGCTTCCACTCCTCCCAATCGAGACCAACGCCAAAGGATGAGTGGCCAAATAACACCAAGGCTTCCAACGCTCCAAAGTATTCATGCTCCGCTTCGTTCACCCTGCTCCATCCTATGCAGCCAGAAGACATTGCCGCCAAAGTATATCAAGTCATGTCGCCTTCCTCGTCTTCTTCTTCATCTTCTTCATCATCCAGACTCTCCATAGCATCTTTGATATACTGAGCAGCCTAGAAAATGTTAGCAGAGTCAATATCCAGGCTATCTGCCATACCTTTGGATCCAAGTTCAGAGCCGCCGTGAAACACCTCACAGCATCAGCTCTCATCCTCAGCATCTTATAAAGCTTCCCCAGCAGAAAGAAGACATTCGCTTCATCGGGTGCGACGTCCTTCAGAATTTGCAGTTCCACCAACGCCATCTTCGGTTGCTGAAGCTGCACCAACACTCTAGCCTTTCGGAAGCGAGACAACGCGGATGTTGGCGACAAAGTACACGCTTTCGAGTACTGAGCCAACGCCGCTTCGTAATTCTTGTTCTTTTCAAGCACCATACCAATGCAGCAGACCAATACCGCGTTTGTGGGGTTGATTCGTGCGGCAGTTCGGTAGTGTTGCTCTGCAATATCATATTTGCCCATCTTCTCATACACCTTTCCAAGGCCATACCAGGCATTGTAGTGTCTTGGGTCTGCATGCACACCCGATCGGTACGCATCTAGCGCCTTATCGTATTCTTCATTGGCAATGAATTCATGGCCTTGAAGTGTAAAGCCATATGCAAAACCAGAATCCAGCTGCGTAGCACGCTTGAAGCATTTCAGCGCCTGTTCATGCTCACGTTGTAGTGAGAACGAGTTACCAACCGCACACCATGCCTGCGGGCTTAAGCGATCGGTTTCCATCAGCTCATGCGCGAGGTATGCAAGCTCAACCTCGTTCTTCATATGCCATAGGACAGTGCTGTAGACCTCCATATCCTCCAAGACAGATCCTGAATTTTGTTTGACTCGAATGAAGAATTTTTCCGCATCCGCATAAGAAGCTTGCTCGTAATAAGCCTTTCCAATACAGGCCAAGATGAAAGGGGATTCTCTATGCTGCGTAGGCAAGCTGTTGAAGATCTGAATGGCGTTGTGACAGTCGTAACGCGACAAGCAAAAATATCCATTTGCCATGCGCGAGAACAGATCCAACAACGACTGAAGACCGTCATAGTCCTTGTTGAATTGAGATGTCATGGGTGGCTTCTGAGGTGGACGATCAACCTCCATAATATCTGCTCGGTTTCGATTGCCACTAACGACTCGACCAACTGTAGAAGTAGTGGCGGTTCGGCCTTTTGCAGGTGCTTTCGCTTTCTTGATATCTCGACCTTCCCGTAGACCAAACGAACTTGCAAGGGATGAAATCTTGCTGCCACCGGTTGTTGTGGGCTGGACGGTGTTTAGCAACCTCCTGCTTCGTCTAGTACCTTCAGGAGCACCATTCTGCGAGGTGGCAACCTGTCCAGAGACGGTCCTCTTGGTAGGTGCTGCTGGAGGTGGGTCTGGGACGGTGAGAACGGCATCTTCCGAGCCAACTTTACTTCGTGTTCTTGATTTGATGCTGTTCGCACCCAATCTTGGAGGAGGGGCTGATGCATAATCTACCAACTCCTGTGCACTTCTTTGCTTCCTCGCAGGTGCCGGAGGAGGCTCCCATGTTGGTCTTGATTGCAAATTGTCCTCGTCAGTTGCAGTCAGCGTTCCCTCCTCATCAGCGCTAATATTAACGCCGGAGATCGTAGCGCCGTTCAATTTCTCCCATAGTGCCGAACTACCATAACCAGATATGCCATTCGCCCTGAGATTCGAAGAGAGGAAGGGATCTGGGATAGGATTGTTGGTCGGCTGAGACTGGAGTGGAGCACTGGAGGGCACTGCCAGATCTTTCTCATTTTGGATTGTCAATTTCATGGAGGAGATCATTTCTGGCGTCATCTTGTAGATATTGGGAATGTTGATATTCGCGCCGCTCTCGCAAAGTCCCAAGAACGCATCCCACATAAAAGGATTCAGCTTCAGCGCTTCCACCCAACAATCGACCGCTTTGCCCATGTCCTTGTGTGCCTGAAACAGTTTCCCCTGCAAAGTGTACACGGCTGCGGCGTCTGGTAAGTGCTGCCTCTTGCTCTCTGAGTGCTGGTTCCACGAATTCTTGTTCAACCATAATGGCCTCGCTCTCTCCAGTGCAGTTATTCCTTCCACATATCTCCCAAGCTCGAGAGACGCTTGACCATATATGTAGCAGCACCCTAGGTGAATGGCTCGCGAGGCGTGAACCCGAGTTGTCTCCCAAGCGCCTTTAATCTGCCCAGACTGTAACTGACAAAGTGAGAGAAGGTATGCGGCTTCAGGACTTCGAGGTTCGTAGCTAGCGAGACGACTGGCGAGGAACAGTGCATTACGAACGAGATTGTTGTCGAGGTGGTAATAAATCTGAGATCGGAGCTGAGAGACGATGTAGGGATTGGTAGACGGCGACATGATGTAAGTATGTAGAATGAAGATGCTGGTGAACAGCAACTTAGAGGAAGGTCAAGATTGGTGGTGAGTCGGGTAAAGGAGATCGGTGAGAGCGGAAGGTGCAAAGGACTATATCGAGGTCTGAGTGAAGTAGAAGTCGCGTTATTGTGAAGAACGAATTACTTGTGAGGGTTCAGGTCGGCCAAAACAAAGGCCCTGGGGATGATGTTGGGAAGCGATGCCCATGCCGATCTGTTATTGCTGTTCAAGAACCCTTACCAGAAAGCAGGTGTTCCAAAAGTAGCTCGCAACCTGTTACAGACCTGCCAATCTCGGCGTGTTTTTGAGCAAGACGTGGATGGATATGTAGCTCTCTGGATGGATGATGCTTCCGGGGCGGCTAACTGCAGATGTGCCCGTGGCTGGGGAGGTACAGGCATGAATTTGTGGCGCTTGGGGTTTGGAGGTGCCGGGCACAGAACAAACAACATTCACATCCACAACCACATTCTGAAAATACTAACCGCATCCCAACTACGCGATTGCTGCCATGGACGGCTGCTAGGTCTTCCGGGGGCCATTATTGACCTATTTTGTCTTCGTAGATGGGCAATAGCTGACATACGTCTTCTTCGCGGTCGCTGTCCCTTTCTCTAGACCCTTTGTCCAGCAGAATTCCTGGACCAGCATTTCAGATATCAGACCTCGGAGATCAGATACATAACATATCATAAACAATGGCTCAAGTACGTGCTGCTGCTTTATGCTGTTTCTAGATTCGGACAATCAGCCTAAATATCTTTCAGAAAGCAGCTAAATCTCTCGCCTCCCGCAACACCTTCATTCTCCGGCGAAATCACCTTGTCACTGTCGCCTTACACCTCCTCTTCCTCCTTTTTCAAATCCTCCTCGTCCGTCCCCGATCCTGGGTCCTCTACCTGACCTTCTGCTTGCCAGCCATAGCCATCGAAGTCTACCTCGATGTGATCGGCCGCCCCGAGTACAGCCATGACGGGTTTCTCAGACGGCCAGGACAGGATCTTGACGCCCAGGGACTAACCGATTATATGTGGGATGTGGTGTATTGGACATGGATCAACATTCTGCTGGTCTTGATTTTTGGAAACAATGCTTGGTGGCTATATTTGGTGGTTCCGGCATACACTATCTATCTTGCTGCGACTACAGTGGGTGGGCTGAAAGCCATGTTCTCACCCCCAAAGGATGATGAGGGTGCAACCACCACAGCTTCGGAAAGTAAGAGGCAGCAAAAGTTGGGAAAGAGGGCGCAGCAAAGGATGACGTATCAAAATCAATACTAGTCAGTGCGAAGCTCAATATAGAAAATAGAATACATGTCAGTTATTAATTGCCGGCAAGAGAGGATATCGCAAGGCCACAAAGAGCCGCTGCAACTATCAGTACACAACCCAGAAGACCAGACTCAAGGCATTGGACAAGGTCCAAATCATACCTCTTCTGGCGTAACAAAATAGATGATAGAAAGTGAAGGCTTGAGCAGTTTGGATCATAAACCAGGTTATCTCGATATGCACCACCCTTTCCTCTTCATAACCTATTCCCACATTGATTCACATCCACGCGTTCAAAGTTCATCCTTCACTCTACCAGTAACGCTGCTGGCCATGCTGGAAACACTGCTGGCAAGATACTCGACATTGGTCTTAGCTGCATCCACCACGTCAGACGCACCATCGGTAGCAGATGAGGCAAAATTAGCAATTCTTGCCTGAGCACTCTCAACTGCGGCAGCCAACCGACTCTGGGCACTTTCCAATGCGCTTTGTTCCGGGCCGTAGATGGCTTCGCTGACTTTTGCCGCTGCTGATAAGTACGCACCGCTAGCAACCGATCCAGCAGACGCAACATTCTCGGCTATGGCAGATGAAACAGATGAATATGTATCCCCAGCGACACTCGTGGCAGACTCGATTGTGCCGGTTGGCGTTCCATAGATCGCACTGCTTATCGCCGCTTGCGCACTGGAGATTGCGCTAGACATGGAACTTTGGGCTGCTTCTGCATATCCCGTTTGAGTGCCGTAGACCTTCTCACTCGCTGCAGATGAAGCAGAAGAGTATGCCTCAGCTGCGGATAATTTGACGTGCTCAATTGTCCCCTTAGTGGTGCCATAAAGTTGTACGCTAGCAGCATCAACCGCGGCATTCAATTGCTCTGTAGCTGCACCGAGGATGGACTCGATTTGTGGTGGAGGTGTGAAATATGTAGATGCAGCAGATGAGGCCACAGAAGACACCGATAACGCTATGGAGGATGCGGACTGATAGGCATCGCCTGCTAAGCTGGAGGCTGACAAGGCTACACTGATATGATACCCGGTATGATATGCAGAGCTAAGGCGGTTCATGACGGACTCCGTAAAATCTGGCTCTTTGCCAACAATGAGCTCTGAGACGAAAGCTTGGACATTTGAGTATTGAAGAGCAGCTGCATCAGTAGCATGCGAAGTGTATTCACCAGCTTGTGATGTGAGAGAAGCAAAGAAAGGCGTAGGTGCGCCGTAGATCTGTTCACTAGCTTTCGACACCAAAGCCTCCCAGTTCTGTGAAGCTTGACTTGCTGCAGACTCCACGACCCCAGCAGAAGTACCATATGCAGCGGAACTAGCAGCGGAAGCAGCAGCAGACAAAGAAGACGAAGCTGCTGAGAGTGCCATGTTGTATTGAGAGGAGGCTTGATCGTATAGGCTCTGGGCAGGAGATTTTGTGGTAGCACCCACAGCGGACTTTGCAGAAGACATGAAAGCTTCCATGTTAGCGGCAGCAGCTAAAGAAGCAGAAGCATACTGAGAAGACGCGGCACTCATGATACTCTGGTAAGCAAGGTCGGAAGTCCCGTAAATGGCTCGAGAAGCCGCGTCAGAAATGCTACTAAGAGCTGGCGTAGGCGTTCCGTATACCGCTTGCGATGCAGCGTCGGATAGGCTGCTAAGTGCTGGAGTTGGACTTCCATATATGGCGGTTGAGGCAGCGTTCACGAAATCAGAATATCGCTCATGTGCTACTCCAAGAGCAGCATAGTAATTTCGCTGGGCGTCCTGAAGATATTGCTGATGTGCAGGAGTCGGCGTTGCACCAACTGCATTTTTGGCACTAGAGTATTGGGCAGACGCCTTGCTCAATGCGACCTGTAGGTTTGAGGATGCGACAGACGAGATAGATTCGAGCGGTCCTTGAGTCGGATGCGAAACAAAGCTCCCAGCAGCATTTGTCAAGGATGCGTATTGTCGAGAAGCGGCACTGAGTGCAGAGTCTAACCTGCCACTCGCTGTGGCTAGGGAACCAGAATAAGCTGACTCGACAGACGAGAACATCTCCTCATGAATAGCTTTGGGCGTGCCGGAGATCTGTGCTGACACAATAGACTTGGCTTGCTGATATCGACTGCGGGCTCGACTCGTAGCATCGGTGTAGGCGGAATTAGCTTGCGAGGCTAGGGACTGACTTGCAGGCACTGGTGTACCATATATAGCAGCGGATGCCCTATAAGAAGTCAGTCAAATTCAGTTAGGCCTGCACAGAGTACTTACGCAGACACAGCTTGGCTGTATTTCTCAGACGCCGCGCTGGTAATGCTTTCGGCAGTACCTTGAGTCGTACCATAAAGCACGTTTGATGCAGCTGCAAGTGCGCTCGAGTATTGCTCACTCGCCACAGAAGATGCGCTCTCCATTGCGCCTTGAGATCGGCCAAGAAGCGCCTCGCTCACAGCTTTCGTCACATCTGCATATCTATCTCCAGCGTCCTTGACCACACTTTGAACCTTCTCAGAGAAAGTGGCTTCCTCATTTTCGTCGATGACGTCGTCAAAGACTGGGGTGCTGTCGCTGACTTCCTGCGCCATCGCTCCCACGAAGACCTTGCTGGAGACTGATGATGCGATTGAGCTTGCGGATGACGCAGCATTCCCAGATGAGGACGGAGACACAGCTTCTTTCGCTGATGAGGCTGCTGAAACTATCGAGTCAGCCGCCGAGCTTGCCGAATCTCCTAATTGGTCAGTAACCGATCTTGCTGAAGCCACTACGCTTTCGAGGGCCCCGGAGCTTGATTCGCCTCCAAATGCGGCAGATGCATCGGATGCCATGGCGGCGGCGCTTTGACTGGCTTTGGACACCACAGACTCGACAGTACCTTGGCTGGTGCCCACAACAGCAGATGATGCCGAGCTAGCTAAACCTGCAGCAGCCTCGGTGGCTTTCGATGCCATGGACTCAACGCTGCCCTGGCTGGTACCCATCACGACCGAGGAAGCACTTTTGACAGCTTCTGAAGCAGCATGATTGGCCTTTGCACTTAGTGATTCCATCGTGCTCTGAGTGCTTCCAGCAAGGCTTTCGCTAACGTTGTTGATATCCTCGGCAACCTTCGAAGCAGCCGAGACTGCGGCGGCAGGCATGACCCTTGATTCGAAGTTATCGCTGGAGTCACGTGCTTGTATTTTCCATTTTCCCACTCCTTTTAAATGCACCAGTTCCATTGCCGCGGTTTGTGCAGTGACCATAGCCTCATCAAGAATCACATTGCCCGCCCTCTTAGCATCCTCAATGACCTCATGCTTTGACGCGACGTCTCGAACCTCATCTCGCCAATGATCGAACTGTTTCTTGAGTTCGTGATATTTAGCCCAATCTTTGTAGGTGACGCCGTCCATCCACGCCCATCTCATACCGATTTCCTGTAGACCAAGGTCACGGATACCATCAAGAACATCCAGTGTAGAATCTGCTGCAGCTTCTGCCCGCTGCGCAACATTGGTTTCAAATTTTGTGTGCCACTTGCGAACAGCGGCTGCACGTTCTCTGATTGAGTTCGCGCTCCAACGAATAGAATCTAGAATCTCCTTTTCAGCTATCTCCTCGTCTTCTTTGGAAGACTCATGCGAAAGGGTTGAAACAACCTCAATAACTTTGGATTTGAAATTAGTAATTTCCTTTTCGACCGTTTTGTTCAGGGCGGTCAACAGCTCAGGGCCTTCTGCGTCTACCGCGCTCTTGATTAGTCCATTAATGATTTCCTTAACACGCTCCTGCAAGTCCTCAGACCCTTTGTCGGCGGCCTTCGAGAATTTTTCCTGCCAAGTATGCAGATCTGTCGCGACCTGCTCGCGAGCTGCTGCAATCTGTTCCTTACCAGTAAGGGTGGTCTTTGCAGGGGCAGACTCTTCGGACGGGGTTGGGGTCTCAGGGATTATTTCAGGAGTTGCAGCAACGGTGGATTCGCTTGCAGATTCGGAGGCGGCTGATATCGAGCTCTCAACCTTCTCCATAGAAGCCTTTAATTTTCGACCTTCTTGATATTTCGCAATTCTCTCAGAGATCATGACCAGTTGCGGCTTGACATTGTCACCATACAAAGCTCTCATTTGTGGCCACAGAGTACCGTCAACAAATATGACTATGGATGACCAGGCCCACTTCCCATAGGGAATTCCGGTATTGACCAAAAAGGTCTGCGAAGCATCGTAGGTGGAGCCAAGGTATGGTTTTGATATCTCCAAAGCTGGCATGATATGCTTCTGTTGGATGTTCAGGACATTGTCTCTGGCGAAACCATAGTATGGACCTACAACGGACGAAGCCTTCTCGACATGCGGCGCGACGGAGGCCCCATAAATATCGTAGGTCTTCTTCTGAGCAGTCTGTACTTGGGGCAGTACGGACTTCTCCCATTGTTGCTGACTGAACGCTTTTGCGAGTTCAATTCGTGGAGCAGCATGCGTTTGATAGTTGTTTCTGGTGAACCGGGTTACTGGAGTTATTACTTTCTGATCCAGCTGTTGAGTATACGGTTGAAGTTTCTCAACATACGGGGCCGCATATGTGTTGTAATAAGGCTCCAGATGTGGAGATAGATACGAGACGGTCGTCAAATATGGCTTGCAAATTTGCGGCGAGCTCTCGCCAAGGTCGTTCGAACTTGAGGGGCATCGGAAAATGCATGTGATGAGAACATACCAAATTACTAGTCTACAACAAACTCAGTAAAGTCTGGGAGACGAACGATAGGAGATCTCTTACCTGCTGATCGTGGAGGTAAACCAGGCGGCTGCCCCTTTAGACGGTCTTGTTGTACGATTGGCATGTCTTGTGACCTGGCTTCCAGATTTCGAAGCAGAACCATTTGACAGCACCCCATTCTCTTTCACGGCCATCCTCCCTCTCCAAAGCACTCTTTGTTTCTGTGCAGAAATAGCTATTGCTCAAAGGAATTTTCCTTGATGGGGACCGTTATCTTTAATGTCGTGTGATATCGTTGCTAGAGAAGAAAAGCTGCGTGATGCAACTTGTTGGCGATGAGATGCTCCGAGAAGCCACAATAGGGCGCTACGACGTTCCCCGAGCAGCTTGGGAAAGACGACACTTTTTCTTGGATGATGGATCTGGTCGTCAATGGCCAGAGTTTTGTTTTGACAAGTCAATAACAGAATTAAAGTAGACGCGCATGGATCTTTGCTTGGAAGCTGCGTGTTTCAAGCCTCACCTTGGTTGTAGAAGCGTAAAACAAGCAAATCCGCAACAGAAACTTGTGGTCCGGAGGTCCACAGAATCGCCGGGCTCGACGTCACTCACCTACCAAGTCAATTTTCGGCCAACAAATTTGTGCATGGCCTCAGTACTCGTTGGTAGGCCACTACAAAAATGGCCATGGAGCGCAGCATGAGGTGGAGATACATGATCAATTGTGCCTGGGTTGGAATCGCACTCTATTGCTGCGAGATACAAGGTTTTGAAGTGTGATCACTCATTTCTATTCTTTGAACGTTACAGGCAAACAGGCAAACACCCACCTCTTCTTCTGGACCTGACCTTGAGCTCTCCGGAAGACGGTTACCAAGAGGCAGAGGTCGCTGTTCCTACATGCTTTTGCAAGACGAGTGTGCAATGGTTGCAACGATTGGTGCATGCACAACGCCATATATGGTCATTTTAGGTGCCCTGAGCTCTCAAAAGCCTTGAGAAGGGGTAGAGCACGAATGCTGACTAGTCACTTGAGACTACGAGGGACGAGGCCGATGCTTGGGTTCTTCATGGTTGGTACGACATCAATTACGATGGTCGCCTGTGCTCGATGCCTACCAGAAGATCAGATGCAATTGTGCCGTATCGCAGCGCCATTCCGTCATGAAAATCAGGTATATTGGAGGCCTCACAACCTCTTGATCGCAACAGACCTTCGTGGAATGAATGCGACCTAGCCCCGTGTAAACCATCCTACGCCTGCGCATTTAAACAACGTCGCCGTTGTACAGGTCCACAAACGGGACTTGAAACGTCAATGCATAGAATAAAACAAACAACTACACATCCTGAATGTAGGACAGCAGAGAACCGGCCAACCCGACCATTACCTTTACATCAACCAGAAATCCGGGTGCTTCTCCTGCTTTCAAATGCAGAAGCTGCTAAGACAGATAAGAGGCGGCAGTCTTCATCATCTGCTTTCTAACAACATGACGATGCTATCTGGGTGATTGTATCCGGAATATCCTCGCCCAAGCACGAAGCGCTAGAGAGGATCTTATTGAGCGCGTGGTTTAATTGCTATCCACCATTCTGTCGTAAAATCTGACATTTTTTTGATTGGTCAGTACCGGCTACTAGCGCCGGCAAGCCTCGATTAGCGCTGGAAACCTTAATCTTAAAATCTCACCCCCGAGCGCATGGTCTTGACCTGCCATAATTCGCAGTGCTAGTGACAAGATAACCACAGCTTAACGGGGAACCATTACTCCGCAGGATCTCCGGACCCCGGCCTTTGTTCTGGCCACTTCGTCACAAGCAACGTCTCCCAGAACATAAGAGTAGCCGCTCAAAGACGACCTTTTTTAACTCAGGCAACGGCCTTCTAATACTCTCTATGCAATCTATATCTTCACCACTTTTGATATCGTCATCAACCACTCAAGCCCTTCGCCTCTTCATCCCTCTACAACTGCTATCATTGGATCCTCTACCCCACAACCACTCTACCCGGCCAACTTGTTGACCAGACCATCTGATGCTGTGGTGGCTTGGTGAAGCCTCGCGATGGAGGGGGGAGAGCAAGTGATAATTGACCAAAAGAAGGAGATTGAGAAATCTGGAGGTTCGAAACCGGAAACGCAAGGGCATGAAGGAACATTTGGCGGCGGCAATGAAGAAGGAGATTATTGTCGAATATGTAGAGGCGAAGCGACCGACGAGCTCCCTCTCTTCTATCCATGCAAATGTAGTGGAAGCATCAAATTTGTTCATCAAGATTGTTTGATGGAATGGCTATCACACTCTCAAAAGAAGTACTGCGAGTTATGCAAGACGCCTTTTCGATTCACGAAACTTTACGACCATCGAATGCCACAGACCCTACCCATCCCACTTTTCATCCGTCAAATATGCTTGCATGCTGTGAGGAACACCTTCAGATGGGTCAGATACCTCCTAGTTGGTCTTGTCTGGCTGGGTTGGCTGCCATGGTCCATCCGTCAGGTATGGCGTGGTTTATTCTGGTTGGCAGATGGGAGCTGGGGCACGGTTACACAGATCAGTGCGAATGCACCAACGTCCTACCTACAAGACTTGGGAAACTCGACAACGGATGTCGGCTTGACAGCGCTCTCGTCAAACGGCAGGGGAGAGTTCTTAAGCGCCCTACCTGAAATGACCACTCCCATCTCTGGCTTTCTAGCTTATTCGTCAAGTGAATTCCTGCTGATGAAGATTGTTCGCTTTCTTTACCCGGGCTTCTTCAACTGGTCTGTCGGCTTAACTTCAACTGGAGCTGCCAACAGCACGGCATTTTTACACCTATCAGATCGACAACAATCGTTCCTTTCCGAAGTTCGTTACTTGAAGACGCTGACCTCCTATCAAACCATTAATCACTCTGTCATAGATGTGCTTGAGGGACAGCTCATCTGTTTGCTGGTTGTGACAGCCTTCATCTTGGTATTTCTGATCCGTGAATGGGTTATCAACCAGCAGCCGCCAGCAGATCTCCCTGGAGCGGGTCTTGTAGAAGAAGCTAGAGCGGATGCTGGAGACGCTGCGTTAAGGGGGCCGGCGCGTCGACCACGAAGGCGGGCTGGAGAAGAGGGGAGAGAAGAAAGGGTGCGTCGAATTGCTGTGCCAAGAGCACGGCGGAGACTTCTCGCGCCAGAGGCAGAAGCTGAAAACGTTGCTGAAACGACTGAAGAGCCTGTAGCTGGCGAGACTCCTGGTGGTGACGTTGAGGGCTCAGGAAGGATGTTCAATGCGAGTAAAGGCCAAGCCGCGCAAGAGCCGACGGAAGATAACGAGTCTCCCCAAGATCCGTGTTCTACCACAAGGCCAACCTTAAAAGCACGCAACGCGCAAGAAGATGCGGCAAGTATTCGAAGGACAATTGAGGAAGGCATTCCAAGCCAAAGCAGTCCAAAATGGCCCGGTCTAGAAACCTTCAAAGATCTTTGGAACAGAGCCGACAGTGATCCCATTGAAGTGCTACGTATCATCCGCGAAGATAACCGCGAGGTGGAACTTGGATGGGTTGTGGCGCACATGGAGAAGTTGCAACAGAATCAACAGCTTCTGCAGCCTCCGTCGGACATGCAAACTGCGGACTTGGAAGATGTACATGAATCAACTGACCAACACCAGAGTGGCGGCAGTATTGATGCGGCAGATCTACCGGCACAACCTCCAGAGGCTTCGTCACGGCCAGGGTCGTCTGGCAACAATCCCCAGAACTCAGAGGCAGAAGAGGCAGCGTTGCCAAAACAGGATCCACAAGAGGGCTCGACGGCATCATGGGATGTGATAGCGCCAACTGAAATGACAGGCTTATCTGCTCTAGACCTAGCGGCACCTTCAAGTTCTTCCAATCCGTCTCCTGAATTCTCTCCCGTGTTCACAGCCGCTGAACCAAACGAAGGGCCTACCGTGGAACAAGAAGAAATCTCAAGAGCGAATGCTGTATTTGAGGCTCCGGACGCGGTGCTACACGGCGACAGCACTTCTGATGACACACCTACAGCGATCGACGCATTAGCCGACTGGCTTTGGCGAACAGATGAATATGTAGCACAAGCTAGCGAGCAATTTGGTGAGGATGACGCGCAAGTCGTTGAAGATGTCGACCACGAAGCTCCTTTTGTGCCGATACCTGCTGTGGATGTTGTCTCTGATGCTGAAGATGAAGCAGAAGCGGAACAGGAGCAGAATCCGGAAGTCATTGCTGCCGCCGCGGCTGCTGGGATTGACCTCAACAACCTCGAAGCTGTTGAGGATGCAGAAGATCTCGACGGTATCCTTGAGCTTATCGGCATGCAAGGCCCGCTTACAGGGATGGTGCAGAACGTAATCTTTAGTGAATTCCTCATCACTCTCACTCTAGCCGCCAGTGTCTGGTTGCCGTACATTTGGGGCAAGATTGCATTACTCTTGCTGGCAAACCCTTTTGGAGTGTTTGTCAGAGCACCGTTGCACCTTCTTTCGAAGGTCGCTGATACCTCTGTCGACATATCGCTATTCATCTCAGGGATATGCGTATACATGCTGACTTTTGCCCTGAATTGCGTGCTGCATTTTGTTTATCTTGTCCGTCCTGTCTCTCATCCTTGGATCGATACTATCTCGATCGGAAAGATGTCGCTGAGTCTTGCGTCAGGCAGCGGCAGCAGGTTAGAGAAGTCAATCTTTGGGACGTTCGGAGGTTTGAAACCCGACCTACCTAGCTTTTCAGTACTCTCGCATCAAGCACTCCACGTATTCCAGCGTCGATTGGTCTTGGATCTTGATACGATCGGACAGTTCATGGTCTATATCAGCTATGAGGTGCCGCTACGGCTGAAAGAATGCATCCATGGCCTTGCAGGTATCGACAAAACCATCTTCACCAAGGCATTAAATTTGCTCGTGACCTCCTGTCAGCAAAGTAGGCACGATCTCAGAAGGCTGTACCAAGGCTTATGCAATTTACGTTCTCTCAAAGTTGAAGTTCAAGCGCCACTAGATACCAGCTCTCTAGACTACAACCTCGCCCAGTGGAACACGCGAGATCGAATCATCGCAATCGTTATTGGTTACGTCTTCTTCGCCTTTATCGGATATCTGTATGTCAAGATCAGTCGCCTGGTTCTCGGACTCAAAAAGGGCGAGAAGGTGGAAGGTGTGGTTGCCGATAGCTTGAACCAGGCTAGCGGAGTCATGAAGGTCATTTTGATCATTGGAATTGAGATGATTGCCTTCCCACTATATTGTGGCCTTCTCCTCGATGTGGCTCTAATGCCTCTATTTGAAGGCGTAGGCATCCAGTCCAGACTAGCCTTCATGATGAACGCACCCTTGACGGCAGTCTTCGTGCATTGGTTTGTTGGCACTTGTTACATGTTTCATTTTGCTCTTTTTGTGTCGATGTGCAGGAAGATCATGCGAAAAGGTGTGCTCTATTTTATCCGGGATCCCGACGATCCAACATTTCACCCTGTTCGAGATGTTCTTGAACGTCCTATCGCAACACAACTCAGCAAAATCGCTTTTTCCGGGCTCGTTTATGGCGGCTTGGTGATTCTTTGCCTGGGGGGTATTGTGTGGGTGGTGTCCAGAATACAAGGAATTTTTCCGATCCATTGGACATCAAATGAACCCATTCTGGAATTTCCGATTGACCTTCTGTTCTACAACTTTCTGCTGCCCATCCTCATACGCAGTGTTAGGCTATCGCAGAAACTCAATGCAATGTACGAATGGTGGTTCCGAAGATGTGCCCGCTGGTTACGACTCACCAACTTTCTGTTCAACGAACAAAAGGACGACGAGCAAGGAAGTTATGTTAGGCGCACCTGGTGGGCAGTCCTTCGAAGGAGGCGGGGTGATGTTGAGAAGCCTGCTATTGGGGAAGATCGACAGACTCTGGCTGACGACGGTCAAATCGGAACATACTTTCTTCGAGATGGCACCTTTGTCCGCGCGCCTGGATCAGACTCGGTACGAATACCGAAAGGTGGTCGAGTATTCCTGGAAGTTGATGAAAACAACAGCAGAACGGATGGTCAAGCGGAAGACGACGATGGTCCACATGGGAGCACGAACCACAATTTCGTGAAGGTCTATATTCCGCCCATGTTCCGTGCACGAATTGCCGCGTTTGTGATCCTGGTCTGGGCATTCGCAGCCGCCTCTGGAATCATGTTCACCATCGTTCCCCTCTCGTTAGGACGAACGTTCATTGTCCTCATCACCCAAAGTGACCGGCCCCCAAATGACCTATACGCAATCTCTATCGGCCTCTACTTGTGTGGCAGCGTGGCATACGCATTCTCATACTACGGTATCTGCAACGAATGGGTCTGGGGAAAGATCAAGTATTATTTCAAAGACACAAAGCACGCACTTCCTCGGCTTTGGTCATCGATCGCTTATTTCTTCGGTCTTGCGTACATGGGCGTTATGTTCGGCTTTGTTCTTCCTTTCTTGTTCTCGACTCTGGTGGAGCTCTATTTTGTCGCTCCTCTACATACGTATCTTGCGTCAACATATCCTCCACCACCTACATATGCACCTCCAGGCCTGCCACCGACAATACATCTCGTACAGACTTGGACACTCGGGCTTGTCTATCTCCGAGTCATTCTACGTATCGTGACGAATCAACCGGGTCCACATACCAGAGCGGCGACGGCTATCAGATCAATACTCCGAGAAGGTTTCTGGCGTCCTGATACGCGATTGGCGACCAGAGCCTTCGTTCTGCCCTCTCTGGTCTTATCGTCCATTCTACTGGTGATACCTCTGGCTTTGGGATGGATAATCAATGCCACGCTGCGCCAGCCAACATTGCAAGCCAAGGTGTACAGGTACGCATACCCTGGCATCCTTGGCGTTGCCCTAGCGCTGCATTGTGCGGTGCTTCTGAGGCGACAGGTTGGGGTGTGGAGGATGACGATCCGCGATGAGGTTTATCTGATCGGCGAACGATTGCATAATTTTGGCGAGGCGCAGAGGAGGCAGAGTAAGGGGAAGGGAAAGGCGCGGGTGCGTGACCGGGCGGTTTCGGAGAGGTTGCAAATTCAGTAGGGGTTATTCTTGCAATCAGGAGCGGACTTTCTAGCTTTGGGTGATCTTGACTCTCGCATGGATAGGCGTTTCCTTTTTCCTTCTTTGACTATGGTCCCGGATCGCCAGAGGGCTTGTCTTGATATCGGCCAAAAACTATCCATTCAAATCTTAATGCCTTAACATTACTACCGGTTCGCAATGTCATCCTTCATCTTAACCAACGCTTTCTTGCCCTCTAAGCCCCCACCATTGACCAACCAGCCATTCACCGCCTCCTCCTCCTCCTCCTCCTCCTCCTTCCCTTCCAACCCCAGACTCACCAGCCCACTCCTCTCCGGCGTAAATTGCCTCAACCGAACCCCACCCTCCTCCAACACCCTCGCCGTATCCTCATCCATATTATAACCCTGCGCATACACCACCTCCTCAATGCCCACCTGCACAATCTTGACCGCGCAGGTCAGACAAGGACACGTATCACAATACAAGATGCCGCCCTCGCGGTCACCGATCCTCTCCCTCCCGGCCTCCAGCAAGGCGTTCTCCTCGGCATGCAGGCACAGACACGTGTTCAGCTGGCCGGACTTGCCTCCGTTGCAGCGTGGACAGCCGCCCTCGTTGCAGTTGGTCAGGTTGCGCGGCGTGCCGTTGTAGCCGGTGGAGATGACGCGGTTGTTGCGCACCAGGACGGCGCCGACGCGGCGTTTCATGCAGTTGGAGCGGGTGGAGGCGAGGGTGCTGAGGTGCATGAAGTATTTGTCCCAGGTGGGGCGAGGGAGGGATGGGTGGTGAAGGGGTTGAGGATGCGGAGATGGGAGCGGTCTAGGAGGGTTGCTAATGCCGAGGAGGAGGGGGTTTGGTTCGGGTGATTGGATGATGATGAGGAAGAAGGGGAGTAGAGGTGGGTGTCGGACCAGAGGATGAATTTGTCCAGGGGTGGAGGGGTGAGCGAGCGGAGAGTACAACGGGCGGAGAAGCGGGTGTAGCGGAGGGAGGTGGGGGCGTCCACGCTGATGAGGAGGAAGAAGGGCCGGCGGAGGAGGAGATCGAGTGTAGATTCGGAATGGATGTCGGTTAGGACCCAGTGTTCACGCCAGCGTCGGGTAACGAAGTCGAGGAGGGAGTCTACATCGGGAAAGGTGAGACCCCGGGTACCTCTCTGGTCAGATATTGAAGGGAGAAGCCGGCGGACGTCGTCGGGATCGCTAACATGGAGGTTGGACGGTGTATTGGGGAGGTGGAGACGGAGGAAGTGGTGGTGTTGGACGAGGTATTCTGCTACTGAATGTTTGCCGGCACAGATACCTGGGATCTGTCAGTACTCCGAACATAGCGGTGGTTCCCAGAGGCACAGACCTCCGCAAATGCCTATGAGCATGTTTTATGGTGTATGGTGTACGGTATATGGATGGGTGACAAAGACTTTTTTGCTTTCAAACTTTTCTCCCTCTGACAGAAAATTGAAACTCTATGCAGACATGCTCTCGAACAAGAGAAGGCGCTGGCCACTTGACAGCAAACAAACTTTTCATCCAACCACAATCAATTCAACAATTGCTAATATGATATTGTAAGTTGGGCATCACGGCGCCCGAGACATCACATGATAGCCCTACTCATACGCCTCAAGCAGCAGGCAGCAGTTAAAACAAAAGCACGTTGGTGTTTGCCTAACTTCAATGTGGTCAACCAGTCACGCCGACCTCTCTCTCTCTCTCTCTCGCTCTCGATCTTCCTCTCACGCGCTGGCTGAAAATGGACACCAGACCTCGGGAACTGCTTGGCATCTTCCGTTGGTACTTTGCCACTTACTACTACTAAGTTACAACTATTGTCACAACTATTGCTACTGCCACTTCTAGTGCTTCCATCTCGTCCGCTGTTCTTTCACTTTGCTTACCATCCGTCTTGACTACTTCTACCGCTGCTTACATTCTCAACCGCCTTTCTGTGTCACTGCCGAAGCAGCCAAGATGCAATACGTCCCCTTCGCCTCCGACATCGAGATCCCCTTCTACGCCGCCCTCGCCTCCCACAAGATCAACCATGACAGGCTGGACGATTCGGCCAGGAAGCTGTTGGGACTCTACGAGATCCGACCCTCAGATCGACCGGAGAACTCGTCTCGCATGCAGATCCATGGCAATGCCTTGACGAGTGATGAGTAAGTCCTTTGCGGGAACCAGATCTTGACGCGCGGATCACGGATAACGTAAGCAGAGTGCCGGCGGGTTATTATCGAGCAGAAGGCATGATCAAGAATGTCAATACCATTGAGGACTATAAGGGTACTGATAAGGGGAGTATGCTTCAGCAAGCTGGGAGAACTGTAAGTCCCGGACGACGTTCTGGTACAGTCGTTAGACCTGACGATATGCTAAGATATGGGACGCTATCAACGATGGCACCATCTACTCTTGTCCTTCTCTGCTGACTTCCTTTGTTGTTCTCTCCTTTGCCAATCTGAAGAAATACCATTTCTACTACTGGTTTGCCTTTCCAGCCTTGCAATCAGATCCACCTTGGGCTCCGGTCGCTGAGTCTACTGGTAGCCAAGACGCGAACACTTCCATAGCCAAGCCCATGACATCCGCAGAGACTTCCGCCCTTGTCGAGAAAGTCCAAACTTGGCGATATGGTGTCGACGCCCGCCAACATGCATTCTTTCTAGCCAAGAGGAATCGACGGCTGCGGAGGGAGTCCTACAAAGACGAAAGCGATTCAGTCGAGACGCGACCAACCACGCCAAAAACACCCACCGAAAGGCTCGGCTTCACTTGGCAGGTCTCTTCGCTTTCAGGCTACGAGAGTGGATTCTTTGAAGGTGAATACTCAGAAGACTGCTATGTCTGCTTTGCCGATCCATCAAACTATCCCCAAGCACCAGGTTGGGCTCTGAGAAACCTTCTTGTCTTGATCAGACAGCGATGGAAGCGAGATAGAGTTCAAATCTTGTGCTATCGGGATACCCAGCAACAGCGTGATGGTGCTAGAAGTGTGATATATGACCTGGAACTGACCAAAAAACCCAAGAAGCCTCGCACAAAAACCGAGGAACCGACCGAGGTTGGAGAAATCTCTGTGCCAAAGGTGGTAGGATGGGAGCGCAATGAAAAGGGCAAGCTGAACGGTAGAATGGCCGACCTGACCGAGTACATGGACCCCAAAAAGCTAGCCGATCAGTCCGTGGACCTCAATCTAAAACTCATGAAATGGCGCATCAGCCCGAACTTGAACCTGGACAAGATTAAGAACACCAAGTGTCTCCTTCTCGGAGCAGGAACACTCGGCAGCTATGTTGCCCGCAATCTGCTGGGGTGGGGTGTCCGGAAGATCACGTTTGTCGACAATGGGAGAGTATCGTACTCGAATCCGGTCAGACAGCCTCTTTTCGACTTCAAAGATTGCCTCGGTGGTGGCGCAAAGAAAGCTGTAAGAGCCGCAGAAGCATTGAAGAGAATCTATCCCGGGGTAGATTCGACTGGGCATGAACTGTCTGTCCCTATGGCTGGCCATCCTATTACCGACCCCGCTGGTACCAAGAAAGATTTCGAGCAATTGAAAGAGCTGGTCGATTCACACGACGTTGTTTTCCTGCTCATGGACACAAGGGAGTCCAGATGGTTGCCCACCGTCATGGGCAAAGCTGCTGGCAAGGTTGTGATGAATGCAGCCCTTGGCTTCGACACCTTTGTGGTCATGCGTCATGGTGTAAAGGTGGAGAATGCACCAGACACGGAGCTAGGTTGCTATTTCTGCAACGACGTGGTCGCCCCAGCAGACTCTGTCAAGGATCAGACGCTCGACCAACAGTGTACCGTGACCCGTCCTGGAGTTGCCGCGATTGCATCTGCTCTGCTCGTGGAGTTACTGGTTTCCCTCCTCCAGCATCCCCAGGGCCCTGCAGCGCCTGCACCCATGTCGTCAACCGAAGACCGAGGTGACCACCCACTAGGACTCGTTCCACATCAGATCCGAGGCTTCCTGTCGACGTTCCAAAATATGAGCATTGCCGGCAAGAGCTACAACTGCTGTAGTGCTTGCTCGGACAAGATCGCGGATACGTACAGAGCTGATGGATGGGATTTTGTCCAGAAGGCTCTCAACGAGAAAGGCTTCGTGGAAGAGTTGAGCGGGCTTGCTGAGGTTCAACGGATTGCTGAGGCTGCTTCTGCCGACGTGGAATGGGAGGAAGAAGGCGAGATTGAAGAGGAAGGCGAGGGCGAGATGATATGAAGGATGGATTCCACCCGCTGAGACTTGCCAGCCTCCATCTGTAAGGCCGTGATGAGAAGGCCAGGTATTGATTGATAAGATCAGGATAACTGCGTCCGCTCGGCTCAACTTCCATCAAACACCGCCGCCCTATCAGCTTTCGCAAGTCGTTTGATACCCACAAAATACGATTCTTTTGATTCCTGGGACTCGCATCAGCACACGCCCCGACGAGTAGAAGGGGTTCCAGCGCACGCTTCTCGAGCTTTCGGGCTTCTCGCGATGCACCTTGTGGAAGAGAGCCTTCAGCGATTTCTCCAGCGCCTTGTCTTCAGCGCCTTGGTAAAATTTGCAGACGAAGTGCCCGCCGACTTTGAGGGTGTCGAAGCTGAACCGGAGAGCGGAACGACATAGATCCTGGGATGGGTGTCAGCATCCACGATGTCCAGAGTACGCTGTGAGAACAAGACGACGCTCACCATACTCCCGGCATGATCTCTGAAGTTATTTCCACTGGTATTCATCATCCTATGATAAGGGTCACTCAGCGTCCGATTGAAAAAGCCACTTGTCTGTTCCCAGGGCTCGCACATGTCACTCAACACCACATCCACCGTCCTCTCCTCCAGAATATGCCCCATCATCTCCACCTCCTGTTCGTCTGCCTCAACAGCAAGCGACATCGAACCCTCCCGTTCTCGATCGACATACCCCCTCGTCATCTCTGCATCGATGGCCACATCCCCAGCATGTTCCGCTCCCACATCGGAATATACCTGCGGCCTCAAGCTCCGTCCACGATCCGAATCCCTGAGGAAGGACCGAATGCTATCCTGCACATCCGGAGACAGAAAATCGCCTTGTATGGTCGAGACGCCGCGAGGCGGCTGAGCGGGGATGAGATCAACGCCGAGCACGCGGCCGCTGGGTTTCGTGAGATCGATCGCCACCTTTTTTTATAGCAAACAGAGAGAGTATCAGAGCAAGCCATTGATAGATAGAAATTGATGTATGTTTGTTTGTTTTTACCTGTGACCAACTCCCCGGCGCATACCCCAGATCCACCACCGTCTGCCCCGGCCTGAACAGTCGGTACCGCTCATTGATCTGCAGTAGTTTGAAGGCGGCGCGGCTCTTGAGGCCCTGAACCCGGGCTTGGCGCGCGAACCGGTCTTTGCTTTGCCGCTCTACCCAGCGGTGCGAGGATGCGGGGCGGGAAGAAAGGAGGTGAAATGGGTTTAGGCGTAGGGGTAGATGTGGGATGGAGGAGAGGAGGGTCGAGGGCGTGGTGCTGGTGCAGGGTTGATGCGCTGGGAATGCTACATTGCGGTGGAGGAGATTTCGAGGAAGGATAAGCATGACCAGTGACCAGCGCACCGGGATGAATGGGGTGGGCAATCAATTGAATGCTGTGCTCTTCCTCCCTCTTTGCTCGGAAACACACGACGGCGAACTCTTTTTTCTCTCTTGGAGATCCATATTACTTAGTTCTCCGCGGGGATGGGGCTAGGCTGGATTAGGAAGATGGTCCATTTTGAGCTCTACTACGGAGTACTACTTCATAAGTTACTCACTTCCACTGCTGGGCTCGGTCAGGAAAAGAGTGCTTTCAACTCTAGGGCGTTTTATATCATTAAATGACAGGTACTGGCCTTGGTGGTTTAGACCTTGAACGCCCCGTCATGGCTCTACTCTAAACTTCATCTTGACACCCATAGCACTCAATTCGACATCCAGATACCTCAACACCCCCGGCACATTCACAACCGTCGTATCCTCACCCCCGACAAACCTGGCACCATTCCCATCCTCCCAGATGTCCATCTTCGAATCTCCAATGAGAGCTTTCCTGGCACAAGCGCGACATCTCACCACTCCACTCGTCTGCTGACCACCGCCTATTCCGGCCCCTCTACTCTTCAGAGTATAGGCACTTATACTGACCTGGGTGCTCAGAAAACTCCCGCAATTCCGACAGATCCAAGCCCTTGTAGCATCGGAACAGTCCATGAGTCGATCTTGCAGCAAAAAAGCCGCGCCATGTGCGATCAAGGCATCCCGTTCCATCTCCCCAACTCGGATACCACCACCCTTACTCCGTCCTTTGACCGGCTGACCAGTCAATGCACCCACCGGACCTGTGGTACGTACTTGGAACTTGTCGCTGACCATATGTCTCAATCGCTGGTAATAGACAACGCCGAGGTAGATGTCGGCTGCGAATTCTTTGCCAGTGACGCCGGAATACATGGGCTCATTGCCGTGGAAGTTGAAACCTGCTGCCTGGAGTTGGTGGCCGAAATAATCACCCGCAGTGTCTTCCTCCGAGAATTGGAATGGAGTCGAGTCCTGTGCCAGGCCATGTAGGGCACCCGCTTTTCCTGCAAGTGATTCGACGAACATGCCGATGGTCATTCGACTGGGAAAGGCGTGGGGATTGATAATGACATCCGGTTGAATGCCAGTTTCTGAGAACGGCATGTTGATTGATGGCCATAATTGCGAGCACACACCCTTCTGACCGTGACGCGAAGAGAATTTATCACCAATCACTGGTCGTCTTGGAATACGATATTTGATGCTGAGGGCTTGACACGGTTGATCGCCAGTCTCGGAGCCAATGAGTCGGATATGTTCAATGTATGCCTCTTCTGGATCTTTGTACTTGAAGAATGACGTTCTTTGGTCAAGATTTTGATGCTTGCCAGCACTGGGGTCGAACATGACGGAATGGTATGCCGCAACTATATCTCCTTCTCGCACCCGAGAGCCGATGAAGGCGATACCATCTTCGTCCAAAATGTCGGTTGCTTTCGGATCTCGCTCCCCTTGGGGGGCAAAGCCAAACAGCTTGGTAATATCAGCCTTTGACCTGGTCCGACCACGCGACTCTGCCTCCAGTGAATACAGCTTCGTTTTGTAGATGACTCCGTCGCCAAAGCCGCGTTCATGCGAGGATTTGTTGATGATCATAGCGTCATCCATATCATAGCCAGTATACGAAATGACAGCTACAACCGCGTTCATACCGTTAGGGAAATTGTCGAGGCCATATTTATTGTACAGTGGAGGACGGACGATCGGCGTCTGTCCAGTTTGAAGGAGATATGCTTTGTTATCTGTGCGATATTTCAAAGACGTCCCGGGGGTACCCATGGCTTGTTTGCTCATCTGGCATTGATACATGTTTCGAGGAGATTGATTGAAGTCGGAGAAAGGGGTCATATTTGCGAGAATAGAAAGCACGTTGGTTGGTTCATACTCCATATGAGTGCTGAGTCCAGGAATAACATCGGTAGCGACACAAGCAATCTCCATGAAAGGCTGTTCGAAAGGACCAATGTAATCTGGTTTGTCTAGTGGCAAGTATTTCACCCGCCGCATCATTCGCGAGGCTTTCGAGAATAGATACAATCCAGGATAGAGACCACGGTTCGAATTCGGCACAAAGCCAATCTCCAGCTCTAATGGTATGTCATTCTCTCCCTTGACCTTCCAGTGTCTCAAAGTATGCGCAATCATTCGAGCTTGTGGGGGCGAGCAGTATCCCAAGATTCTGCCATCTAGTTGGATGACCACACTTTCACTGACAGCAAGTGAAGGCTGGCCAAAAATACCCAGCTTAACAAGAGCAGCCTCAACACCCGAAACATCTGTATTGGCTACGTGTACTTCGCATTGGTGTGCAAGATGGTTGAGCAATCCACAAGGAGATCCGTCAGGGGTATGGACAGGACAAAGAAACCCCCAACTCTCAGGCAGCAGTTTCCGTACCGTCGTGGTCTTAAGTTGTGCAAAGAAATTTCCTCTGTGTATCATTCGAAAATGGCTGATGAATCTGTAGAAGTTGATCTTTTCGGCAACAACAGAAAAGCCTGATGTTTGTGATAGATCAAGGCCTGTCGGGCTGACTAGGTTACCTGTGGAAAGGAAGTATTCCAGTAAGTTACCAATATTTTCATTGCTCCTTTTCACAACTGTCGGCAGGAAGTCCGTATTGAAGGATGGGTCTGCAAACTTCCTGTCTTTGACATTTGCCCACTCTACTGCTAGAGACCCAACTGTTGTCAACCATTCTTGTATTCTTTCTTTCAAAACCATGCCATAAAGAAACCCACCTAACAGGACTTCCTGATTGGAGACCGCATCGGGATTGTCTACCGCACACTCGCCTGCTGCTAACGCATAAAGCTTTCGAATCATGAACAGGAGCTGTTGAAATTTGTCATTGTCCTGTGTCTCAGTAACATTATAGTTTCCCAGATGTGGCATCACGACCTTCCTCAAAAATTTCACACCGACTTCTTCGTCCGACATGGTTATGGGAATATCAAGAACCGAACGAAATTTCTCGCCCAAGTATGCCCTTGTTTTCCTTTTACCGACGAGGCCGTAGACTTTGTACGTACGGAGCAACATCTCTAGTCGATCCGTAACAAAAGAATTTGATGACTGCTTCGTTAACGGGCCCACAATTCCTTCGTATATCTCTCGATCATTCGTCTCGACTAGGGCTTTGAGTATCATCATCACAGGAATTAGGTATTCAGCTTTCTTCCAAGAAAAACGGAAGGTCACATTTCCATCGCTCAAGTAGTGGAGTACATTAGTCTGTGATGTCTGATCAGGCCTCACGGATCGGATTTGAACAGCAAACTTTGTGAAAGTGGGACCTCTGCTAGTAAAAGTATTTCTGATGATTGCCATGGGATAATTTCGTCTCGATAGAATAAGCATTCGTATCAGCCTTTCATTGCCGTTGATGATAAAATAGCCACCCTGCTCCTCGGACTCTTCTTTATGCTGAACCAGTTGACTCGGTGTATACTTCTGCAAATGACACCGATTGGTCCTCAGCATGATCGGCATCTGACCGAATTCTCGCCAACTCTCAAACCAGTCACCATTGTTCGTCCGCCATTGTAGTTTGGCTTTTAGCTTCCCTCGATAGGAAACGTGTCTCTCCCGACATTCCGATGGAAGAATCTCTCGACGGCGGACGCTAAATTTATTCGAAGCAGGAAGGACAGGCTTTTCCAATACCACATCCGCCACCCGTAGATCGAGTCTGTTTCTGGCCAAGTCCCTATTCGTGTCGCGAGGATCACCATCAACGACCGTATGGATACCGGTATCCAGAAGACCCTCTTCAACGAGCTTCTGATTCTCAAAGAGTGCGTTGAAGGATTCGACATGAGGTCGGACGGCCGCAGCCAATGCGGGGTACGCGCTGCGGTCTGAGGGAGGGCTTCTGAAGAGTTTTTGGCGGCGGAGTGTATCATATTCGACGGACCATTCGGTAGAAGTGCCTGATCTCGGCATCCTGAGTGACAAGGGAAATGAAAGAGAAGTACTTTTGCTGTTTGTCAATCTTGCATTCAAGAGCTCCAATGACAAGCTGATTGCTGTACAAGCTTCGTAACTCGAGTCACTGGCAGTTTAGCTCCTGCTCGTTCATCGACAAAGCAATGGCGCGCAGCACCTCCCCTGGCACCGTCGTCGTATGGATTTCAAAACGCTTAACCAACTCCAAATATTTTGAAAGCTTTCCTTATCGTCACGTGGTGATAAGTGATTGCTCTCTTGCCAAGCCTTTTCCTGTCTTCATATTTCCTTTCTTGGCAAATTCCATCTTGAACTATCCTTCCAGAAGCGCAGATTACGCCAGGGAGAGGTACGAGACTCAGAAACAATGATCTGACAGAGTCGAGACTGTTCAGTATTCAAGCATCGAGTATTGGCCCTTGAAATGCCATTTCCATGTTCTACGCTTCTTAAGAACGCAACTTCTCATTCAAGACAGTTCCAACCAGGCCGATTTAACCCCCCTCAAAGTATGGACTACAGCACTTCCTAAAGCTCTCAGGCGTGTTTCGATTGAAGACTACAATACGCCGCCAATCGTTCTCCAGGAAGTGCCCTTAAGATACGCCATGAAGCGCTGGGTCCTTAGCACACCATGGTCGTATTGTTGTTTTTTCAGCACGATTTATCTTGGATCAGTCTACCTAACAATACATTCTTGTACTGAAAGTTTTACACAGTCGATCAATTCAAGCAATTACTTGAGGAAGGAATCTCACGTCTTGCTGTACTGTACTTCCTCACTTCGTGGTATCTACCGCTTTCGTGTACTTCGCAAACAAGTTGTTAAAGCTTTCTCTTCTATTCCTCTGAACGCTGTTGCTTCTGTGTAGTATTAACCATTCTTCCATCATCTGATATGTTCCCAGCAGCAGCTTCCTCCATGCGACTCAGCTCTGTCTTGATGCAACTATCCTGCTGCATCTTGCTGTGACAATCTGACAAGGTTAACCGTACGAATCAGATGCAAATTGATTATGACTTCCTGTTCTGACCAACGACGAGAAGCACGATTAGCCTCTCCTCAGATTAATCGAGAGAATGAGTAGTCCCAAAAATGATTCTGCGGATGCAGACTCAGCGCCGCTGGGTGACAGGTCCTCTAGAGTATTTATTTCCACGTGTCAATAGCCACTGTTCACAGAAGAGAGCGCCCTTCAAATGCAGAGTTTGAAATGATAAAGGCATGAAATGTGTGGATTTTTAGAGTGGTAGGAATTGCCGGAAAATGTACTTCAAGTCCTCACACATCTCCCCTCCGCTAGGGTCAGGGATGAAGGTGTTGATGAATAAAAATGAACGTAGCTGACAACCATATCGTCGCATCTATTATGGTATTCTCTCAGACTTCTCAAAGGTACATCGGGCGAGAAGAGGCAATCCAGCAATGCTCCTAACCAGTATTCAGGCGCAAAATCTCCGATGACGACTGTTTATATTTCTTGGTGTGTAACATCATCGACCATTTTCGTGGTAGAAAGTTGAAATCGACACCCACACTCCAACGCCTTTCGCTGTGATATTACGAATTTAGAGAAGACTACCCCAAGCTTAGAACATTTGAGATTCTTGACTTGCATCAGCTAGCTGCTCGCACCGAGTTGTCGTGTGCATAGGTGGTCATCCACTCGCACACAGCAGCAGCAGCACCACCACCACCACCACAGTTCGGATCCGGTTCATACTCTCAATCCCGGCGTCACACTTTCCATCCACTATCAAGCCCTTAATGTCATCAGCTTAATATATTGGTTTCTTTTGCGCCACACTTTTCTCGGGCATTTGCCAAAGCACCGACTTACCACCCAAAACATCGATACCGCTCCATTCCACACTTCAATAATCCGGACCATCCCACTCCCACGGTTCATACGCACCACTACCTCCACCACGCCTCCTTATTCCGCCTAAGTATTGACCAGCCCAGTTCGACCCGTACCAATCAGAGTCAACACGATGTTCAATTTCTTCCGCTGGTTCTACGACTGGCTTTTAGGACTATTCTGGTACTCTTGCCTTAACCCTCGGCTCTCTATTCGATCCACCTGCAAACACACAGTTAATGATATGCTGATCTAATTGGTTCCAGGGCGACAGAGATGGATGTCACCATCGTTGGGCTACAGAATGCGGGCAAGACTTCTTTACTGAGGGTTTTGGCTGTGAGTCACACCCATCTCATTCAGCACCATCTGTGAACGTGGATGGTCGTGATGGGTGTACAAGTAAGGTATTGATGCTGACTCGAAAGACAGGGAGGGGAATTTACTATTGAGTAGGTCGTACCTCTCTAGCGTCTATGCGTCTAGATCAGCTCGGAGGACTCTGACTTCCCATACAGTTCCATCCCTACAGTAGGATTCAATATGCAGCGCGTACAGAAAGGCCACGTCACCCTGAAATGGTATCTTACCCCCTCCTTCCTTTCATCTCTTCCTTCCCTAGCCGATCCATGCTCCATTAACACCCCTCCCCACCAGCTGGGATCTAGGCGGCCAACCCCGCTTCCGCACAATGTGGGAACGCTACTGCCGAGACGTCAATGCCATGGTATTCGTCGTCGACGCTGCAGACCGAGACGCCATACCTGTCGCTCGCGAAGAGCTGCACATCTTACTCTCCAAGCCGTCGTTGGCAGGGATCCCACTGTTGGTGCTGGGGAACAAGTCGGATCTGAGAGGCAAGATGTCGGTGGATGAGCTGATTGAAGCGTTGGAGTTGAAGAGGGTGACGCATCGGGAGATCAGCTGTTATGGGATTAGTGCCAAGGAAGAGACGAACTTGGATGCCGTGCTGCAGTGGTTGATAGCTAGGTCTGGGAAATGAAGACTTGGTTTCGATTTTTCTGGTTCTTGGCCAGGTTGATACATTTCGATCAGTACGCGCAGGGCTCCATGCCTAGATTTTGGTGAGGTATGTTTTGCTCAACTCGACATCAGAACGATGATCTGTGAACAGTGTGGCTGATTGTCGCGCGAACTTTGGTTGTACTGCCGGTAGATATAGGTGAGATCCACTCATTTGTCAATTCTCGTCAATCTCTATCATCACTCATGGCGAATCTCGGCCCATTCACACCCTTAACACCTTTGCCCAGTTGGCTAGCCACGACAGTTGCCTCTCTTACACTCCTCGCAATGGTGCCCCTGACTCTCCCTTCTTCCAGTACCAAAAGTCCACCAATTGTACATCCACCTGGCGTGCTGACCTTCTCGCTCACCATCGCAGGGTGCTCTCCACGTAGGACCATATCTGCAGTTCCTCTCATTGATTGCGCCGCCATAACTTGTGCTTCAGCTCTAGGCAGCCCCATGGCAACAGCACCATCAGCAAGTGACTGCAGCATCAATGCTATGAAGGCAGGGCCGGAGCCACACAGAGCGGTACTGGCATCCATGGTCGCCGGAGGAAGATGAACGACACGACCGATGCGACTAAAGATCCAAGTAACGAGTGATTCGAGTTCAGCAGGCAGAGGAGGATTGGAGGTAGCTATGACAGTCATAGATTGACGCACTACCGCGGCCGTGTTAGGCATCACTCGCACAATGCGACATTGGTTAGGAGATGTTGAATCCTCGTAGAGAATTTCTTGGATTTGTGACACTGGCACGCCGGCGCAGATGGAGATGAGGAGTTTATTCTTGAGGGCAGCGCGCATTTCATCACCTGCTAGAACATCCTTGACCATTTGTGGTTTACAGCTAAGAATGACCACGTCTGCTGCGTGAACACCTTTGATATTCTCGTTCTGCAGTATTTGAAGATTCTGCGAGTATTCTTCGAGCGATCTTTTGATGCGCTTGGCTGATTCGGGTCTCCGAACACAGGCAATGAACTTAGAGGGTGTACTGGGAGATGGAGCATCAGAGGTGGGCGTGACAGCACCCGAATCGGGAGCAGCCGGAGACGGGATATGTGAAGTTTCGCTCAACGACGAGAAGATGCCAGACAGGATTGCTATGCCGAGAGTACCTGTATCTGGTCTTAGTTGACGGCGAAAGAACTGACAAAAGGGGACATGAGGCAGAGCCCAAAACTGGAAGCAGGATCGAGGTCAGCTCACCGCAGCCTAGGACTGTTAGGGTACTCTGCTGTTTGCCGTTCAGTAGGCTCGAGTTTGTTCCGAGCATACTTGATATTGACATCTCTATGATGTTTTGAAAAGTTATACTATTAAGGTAAAATATGTAATGTGCAACTTTCTCTACAAAATCTAAAATTGATCTCTAACTTGGCGCAGGCAGCATAATTTTCTTGGAATACGGAGTAGCCCAAAGCTTAATAAGGTTTACGGGCACCAATTGGCTATATCACACCAGTGAAACAATATCCAGAAGTAAGAGCAGTGCTAACTTTAATATCTTTGATCCGTTTTCTCCGGGGGAAATAACCAGCGGGTTGAAGTGCATCAAACGATAGTGACCTATCCCCGTGGCACTGAATGTGTCAGCATGAGATTTTGCTACATTCTTGGCAGAAGGATTATCAAATTTTCTATCCAGGCTGCAGCTATTCATTGATCCCTCCTACCGCTGTTTGCTCTGTAACGAAGAACGACTCGTTAATCATGATCTGCTTCGTCACGTGAAAGGATGTAAACTGGTTCTGCTGCTGTCAGCGCTGCGCTATGAACCGGAGCGTGGGTTGTGATAATAGTTATTGTTCGGACTGTAAGGAGGAACGCCGGCGTTAGATAACGCTATCATGTTGGAAGCTTTAGACAGGATCAGAAAGATATATCGAGTTCAGTTCTATCTCTATTGTAGGTATTCGCTGCTCATTCAACGTGGTTCAGAAAGTAAAGCAGTGTTTTCCCCCACTCTCTGTACTGATTACTATGCTAATATTGAGCCTTATCTCAGCACTAGTTACTGAGTCATTCCCCAGGCACTGCCTATTAGAACAATAGGCCTAGAAAGCAAAATGAGACCTCAAGCAGAAGTGGTGTGTAGGTCTGATTGATTCTGATCGGTCGCCTATCGCTACTTGGCTGCACCGGCTGGTAGTTACTATACTATTTATTGTGCATTGCAAAATTGTTGCAAATTCCTTGGCGGGACCCTCGAATTGCTGGCGCCGCGGGGCAGAATATATTAGACAAGATAAAACGTTAATTATTTAATATCATGAGACCGGATCATCTAACCGAACGGATTGATTGATATATTAATAATCTCAAGACGGAACGTCAAACAACCACACCTTAAGCGGAAACACCACAAGAGAAATGATACAAGGGCGTATCAGCTTTGGAGGGAAGCCCCCTACTAGGTTGTTACGGGTGCGTTACGTTAGCTCACTTGGCACAGTCATAGATTTAGTAGCTTCTGTTGCGTCCCGCAACTTCCCCTCCCAACTTCATCTTGCTAGAATCAATCAATTTTGACGCATCCGTTGCAGAAACGGCCAGAAATCGTGGAGGGGCCCTAAACACTGTGCAACGGCGGCTTCATCGTTATGCGTGGAGCGATCTAGAAGGCCACCTGGAACGTTTCATCTGAGGCGGCCGACAAGAGGTACTATGTGGTGGAACCAGGAAAGGATTCCAGCCCCTTCGAAGTGGACGAGCTCAAGGACTTCACACAGTACAGCAGTGATTCCATGTTCGGCCCCAAAGCACATCCTCTCCTCTTTGCCCCAACATCCAGCAGCCGAACTGGCTATTTCAACCAGAGATGACACCTGGTGGTAAGGTCCCCGCTAAGGTCTAGTGTTTGCGGAATGTAGTCAAGCTCGCATCTCATACACAACAGCAGGATTTCTGTGTCCCGTGGGCGACAAAGGGTCCTATGCTAACATCAACAGGCTTGACGCCCCATGAATTCAGATGCATCAGCTATATCAAGACTGACAAAACCCTCAGCCGTCTTAGCTTTGTCGATCAATTCTAAACGTCTTCAGATGTAAAATCTGCTCGGCACTCTAAGACTCTCTTCTCTTGGCTTAGCGTAAGAGTGAGCAAATACCTCCTCAGATAACATGGATTCACCTACCTTGGATGCCTTGGTTTCAAACAAGTCTAGGCTGCAGCAATTGCATGTTTTGACGGGTCATCAGCTCCAAGAAGTTTCAGCATGGTACATATGGGTCGGGAACGGTACGGAACAGACCCCCTTGTTCCGTTTTATCGTACAGTTTCCGAACGCTGCATTCGTGTTTGCTATCAAGTTGCTGTAACACAAACTTTATGATTGACTCTCTAGAACTGTTCCACATTTAAGATTCTAGAAGATATTAAAAGAAGGAACTTCAACCAACATTGGTTCAATAAAAGTCAGCCCAATCGTCGCAATCTAGCCACGGGACCCAGAAATTGGCCTACATAACATCCGTCTACATCTAGGAATCCTACCGGTAATGTCGACCTCATCCATGGTATCAGGGTTACACAAGGTAAGAGAGTGACATTTCCTTTGCCGACCTCGATCACCATGCCACAACTTAACTAGCGCTTTATTCAAGTTAACAAGCCGAGTAGGCTTATCACAATACACGCATCAGCAGGATGACTGATCCCCCAACCCAACGTGCGAATAGATGCTCCGCGAGCCCTTCTGACAGCTCACTTGGCCAGCGGTTTGCTGGCTTAGCTGTGACAGGCAGAGAACAAAACTCTCAGACACAACACACAAATGCCAGCCATTCACAGGCTGTGACTTCATTGAAAAATCAACCAACCAGGGCTACGAAGCCTCGTCAAAAGCAAACGCCTTTGTGCAGCAATATTCATGAAACTCCCTCCAGCAATCGAGGACCGGCGCCAGCGTCTTCTTCTGCTCAGCTACGCAGAAACGCCACAGAGGCAGGCAGCTCAGCAGAAAGATTAGAATTGGATTGGCTTCCTTCAATAAACCGCGGAGACAGTAAATTCTCCATGCGGCTCATATCAGAGCTGTCAATTGCTCCCAACAGTGACTTCAGACAGAAAACCCAGAACTTCTTGCACGATATTGCGAGTTATCATAATGATGAAGTTCCCCGTGGCTATCCTCGAATGCGATCAAGGGAGCTTGGTGATGACGAATCTCCCTGTTGCTGGGAAATAACACCATTGGAAATGGGTATGGGTCCGCCTAAGTCGGGATCACCGAGTGGGTTATTTTCCATCCCAGGAGAACTAAAAAGGCCCGCTAACTCGGAATCTTCGTAGACAGATATCGGCTTACATCACCCTTCTTCACCCCACCGGAAAAATGGTCAGAATATTTCCAGTCCACTTGGGCCTACCTTCGCAGATACTACACGATTCAAGGCGCCGATGGGCGTTCCTCGGCCCTCACCATTCAAATCTCCACGTTTGAAAGAGCACTTGATTTCAAGTGCGTTGTGCAGGCTCTTATCTATTTTAACTCGATGTGGCCGCAAGCCTTTATTCCTGATAATAAGAACCGCGACAAGTCTGAACCACGTATTGCTGTGGGACAATCATACATCTCCCATCATCCCGATTATTGGTCTGCGGCTCCCTCTACAGGAATGGTCTTTTTCTATATTAGAAAACCTTCCGAGGTTGGTGAGAGATCGGAAGACTGGATCCAGTTTGTCATGATGTTCGTCATGGCCGCCATCGATAGCCCCTCGCTAGCACACCTACAGAGTCACTCCGTCACCCATGCCGGTCTCCGCCAATTCGTGCTGAGGGGTCTGGACTTGATTTAAAATTGTTCCTCAGTCAAAAACTACCCGGCAGATACCGCACTGTGCCAGCTCTATTTTACGCCACGTGGTATCGGCACAAATCGAAAATGGAGACGGTAGAGAACGGAGTGTGCGACTGAGTTTATTAGGAAGCTGCATGAGCCGTAGGAGGTGTAACTTGATCGAGGCTGAGCCGGGCCCCTGGTTTCGCTTACATAAAGCGGCACTCGAGCCAACCAGATGGGATTGTCAAGGTTGGCTAGTTTTTGTGTGAGTTATAGCCAGCAATGCAGCTGTAGGGTGATGAGGAAACAGTAAATTGGACGGGATATTGTATACATACAAGATGCATTGGAACAATAGTGTAGGTGGTATCTAGTCTGCTTTACAAATAGAGGACGTGTCAGGGCTGCCATGGCCTGACGCAAAAGAAACAAAGCAATAGAAACCAAGTTCAGAATATGTGTAAATGAGTGCGTTGATTCTATCTATGCCCTGCTTACGGCTATATAGCCTCTATTTGGCGCCCAGAGGGCGTACGGCAGACGCACAGCAGGCGCATGACAGGACGGTACAACCCGGATCCGCTGATTATTGTACGTAGTCTATTAGCAACGGCTCCCAAAATGATATCCGAAAATATGGAAAATGATAATGCTAATGTTCACAGCTGAGTAGAATTACTAATGAATGCCTTCCAGTTATCCTCTAAAGGCATCACAATCTTTTAATAAAATACTTGTTAAAATTAGAATTATTAATATTGTTATACTTTATATTATTTTTATTAAATTCTATTAATCTATTCCAGACTAAAAAGCCTATGTAGATTAGTGTTACAGCATATAAACGCACTAGGCACTAACAGGCCTTAGAGGTTGCACAGACCCTGTATAAGAAGACCCTGGAACTAATCAAGCCTAAGGGGCTTAGCAAAAGGACACGCTTATATAGAGACAACCTTAAGCAAGGTATTTATAAAGGGGGACTAATAAATAACGCTTAGAGGCGCTTATAAGTAAGCGACTATAAACACGAATCTCCTAGCCGATATAAGCATGCTTGTTTCCTAGTATAATAAATAGAGTATCTCCTCTTCTATAGCGCAGAAAATACATAGGACTAGCCACGCACTCGGATGGCAGCGCCGATGGCGTATCCACAACAGTACGTGGCTCCCTGTACAAGTATCATAGAACCGGAGATTAATACGACCCCTTTAGGAAAGTATAATCTCCTCTAGAGGGAAGCTATCGCTTCTGGCCCTACAGATACTCCGTCAGATCCTCCGCACAGATTAACTAGTAGCACCCCTTGTATTTGATAGAGGAATATATAGAGTAAAGCGCTGGCCGCACTATAGATAAACTCCCCAGCTTACATTTTAGCAATCTATAGACTATTAACTTGTTCTAGTTTTAAGCTATTAAAGTAAACGTAAGCTTAATACTTACTTGTTATCTTGAGAGACGATACAAAACTCTCTTATTTATAACACAGTTATTAGAGAACTTATCTAGGGTTATTTAACTATATAAGAAAGTCATTACTCTAGAAGTAATACAAGGTCTATTTAATATAAATACTTTATACTATATAAAGGTTTAAGAATTATTAAGTTAAGATAATTTGTAATTGAATAAAGAAAAGAAAGAGTAATAAAGTTCGCTATCCTTTTTTAAGTAACTAAAGGTAAAGCTTAAATAAAGCCTCCCTTATAGATTAAGACGCCTTATATATATTAATTAAGTATCTAATTCTCTTATAACTTACTAACTATTTAAGCTATTAATCTCTAGTAAGCTTTTTCTAAAATTCTATTTATATTTTAATTAGTATATTATTTATAAACTTTTACTTTTAGTTCTAATATAGTTATTTTAAAAGTTATTTTCTTAAATTAATACTTTTTTATTATTTCTTTTGTTCTGAGCTGAATAATATAATTATAAGAATATAAATAATAATTTCTAATAGAGAATTTTTAGAGCTATTAAATAATACTATTTATAGACTTATAACTCTCTTAATTAGCCTAATACAGCTAATTAAAGTTTTACTCTTATAATTTACTTTTAATGTTCTTAATGCTAAGGCTGCAGCTAGGTCTTTACAAATTTTGATGTTCTTAATGCTAAGGCTGCAGCATTCTTCCATAATTTTGATGTTCCTAATGCCAAGACTGCAGAAATAACCTCACCGCTAAACGCGAGTACCTCTTAACACTAAACTCCTAACCGCGGGTACCTCTTAACGCTAAACTCCTAACGGCAGGAGTCTCCAATAGGGGTCTAATCGGGCTCACAAGGGATATTAGTAAAAACTAGCAAAGATTACAAATCTTCTATATAATAAAGG